CTGTGTGTGTGTGTACCTGTATAATACACTGAGTGTGTCTACCTGTATAATACACTGTGTGTGTGTACCTGTATAATACACTGTGTGTGTGTGTACCTGTATAATACACTGTGTGTGTACCTGTATAATACACTGTGTGTGTGTACCTGTATAAGACACTGTGTGTGTTTACCTGTATAATACACTGTGTGTGTGTACCTGTATAATACACTGTGTGTGTACCTGTATAATACACTGTGTGTGTGTACCTGTATAAGACACTGTGTGTGTTTACCTGTATAATACACTTTGTGTGTGTACCTGTATAATACACTGTGTGTGTCTACCTGTATAATACACTGTGTGTGTACCTGTATAATACACTGTGTGTCTACCTGTATAATACACTGTGTGTGTCTACCTGTATAATACACTGTGTGTGTACCTGTATAATACACTGTGTGTCTACCTGTATAATACACTGTGTGTGTCTACCTGTATAAGACACTGCGTTTGTCTACCTGTATAAGACACTGTGTGTGTCTACCTGTATAATACACTGTGTGTGCACCTGTATAATACACTGTGTGTGTACCTGTATAATACACTGTGTGTATAATACACTGTGTGTTTACCTGTATAATACACTGTGTGTGTACCTGTATAATACACTGTGTGTGTAATACACATTCGGAAAATATCAGGGGTCAATTCCTGACGAGTATATTTAGCATGTAATTTGTGTACACAGTGATAACAACTGCTTTGTAAATATGGGAAGGTTAACCCCCGAGTTCGCACAAGGTCATCAACAACACTTTAGTCGTCGTGTTTGGTGTGCCGAGTCTGGGCTGGGTGGGCGACTCAGCCTAAATGATGAGTACCCAGCAGGAATGGTGGCGTTGTTGGTTATTACCATCGGTACGCTTGTGGTGGTGTAAAGTGTGAGTAACTCTGCCGCCTCGTCCTAGACGCCGGGCTCGCGTGGAAGAGTAGACCGAAGATATCATCCCCAAGTCGGGAGGCCATTCTGCCAGCAGTGGCTTGCGCTGGCTGTTAATAGTGCGGCCTCTCCCTGGAATCATCACGTCTGCCCCTCTGCGCTGATGAAGGCTCATTGCCTTGGAACGTTAGCCTATAAGACCATATTAATAAGGAATGTGGTGATATCTTGACTTAAAGCTTTCGTGACTGCTGGAATTCATATTCTTTGGGTCTTTCGGTAAGGTCACGTAGATAGGTTCAAAGAAAATAACAAAAAATAATACAAAAACTACGACGTTTTGACCACAACACAAGCGACCCTGATGACGACCACTTATGTTGTGGTCGTAACGTCGTAGTTTTTTTATATTTTTTGTTATTTTCTTTGAACCTATCTACGTGACTTTACCGAAAGACCCAAAGAAAATGTGGTGATATTTTACATTTCCGTTCCGGCTTTAATATGGACAAAAGGCAGAATCTGCGTATGTGTGTGTTTTTATACATATTACGTTCACAAGTAAAGCAATACAGGCAATAAAGTATATTGCCTTCATGAGATCAATATTAATCAATATTTGTCCCACTGTCAATTGCACCATAGATAGCAGAGGGGAAGGGAAATCCCAATGAAAACGAAATATTTAATTGGTTCATCATTTATAAATTCACTTGCATTTTCAACATTACTATCAGTGACTTCAGACATGTTTTTTTACATGCGCGTATAGGTGGGCATCTATGTGCATGTTTGTATGTATGTGTGCGTGTATGTATGTGTGCGTGTATGTGTGTGTGTTTGCATATTAGATATATTTTTCTGTCGTAGTTTAGTGGTAATTAATTGAAGGTGGAGGGGTTACCAGCCCCTCGCACCCGTCCAGAGCCCCCGTTTAGCCCCTGTGGTGGACACAGATGCCATGAGGGGAGGGGCCAATCGAAATTGGACCTCCCCCCACAGCACTGTCCACGACAGAGTTGCCCATCCGGCACCGCGAGGAGGTAGGGGGTTGTTTTGCCGGATTGAGGGGGCTAAGCGGGCGCGGCACGGGCTAGAGAAGAGATGGAGTGATGTGGCACAGGAGGACGTGGAGCTGAGTGGACTTGCCGATGACTGGTACCAGCGGTGTCAAGATCGGCCTCTGTGGAGGAGGCTCGTGAAGGACGCTACTGGGCAGTTGGAGGCAGTCGCCCTCCAACAACAACGGAGGGCGGAGGAGCGACGCTCACAACAACGAGCGGAACGCCGGGTGGCTAAAGCACAGCAGGTTGGCACAGTAGGGGGCACAGGTGGTGCATCAGCCAGTCATCTCAGTCAGTCGACCCGTGGCACCTGGGTCTGCCCCGTGACCTCCTGCCAGCGGGCGTTCGACACTTCACGTGGCCTCAGGGTGCACATAGCCTGGCACAAGCGTCGTGGTGACGTCACCGCCACTTAGTGGCGAATGGCGGTTGTTGTTGTTGTGTTTGCATAGTGGCGCAGTGGTTGCCGCGCTGCGCTACAAACCCGGCGATCAGAGTTCGATTCCCGCTCACAGCCAACACCAGTGACTATTGTCTGAACCGTTTGTGGTCCTCTTCTAGGTTGACTCAACCTCAAATGAGTACCTGGTACAGTGCGTGAACAAAGGCGGGTTGGGCATGGTGCTGGCCACCCACCCCCTCGTGTACCTTACCAGCCTTCATAGGTGCTCGCTAACAGCACTTGGGACACCACCTCCGATTAGCATGGTTGGCTACGTACGGTGCGAAAGAAGTTCAAGTTCTATAGTTCATCCCCAACAGTCTGCTAAGGCTATATGGGGGATTCATATTCTTTGGGTCTTTCGGTAAAGTCACGTAGATAGGTTAAAATAATAATAAAATAAACAAAAAAACTACCACGTTATATGGGGGATCTTTGTATGTGTGTGCACATTTGTGTGGGCGTAGATATTATGCATTTGTCTGTGTACGTTTGTCTATGTGTGCGCACACAGGTCATGTGGCCTCAAAGTGCACCTAACTGGGTACAAGCGCCATGGTGGAATCACTGCCACTTGAGTGGCAAACGTCAGTTGTTGTATGCACGTGTATGTACACTGGATGTATGTGTCTGTGTACTCGAGGAGGATGAGTGGTCTACGATGTCAGCAGCAGCAGCAGAGAGGTGTAGAGGCACTTTGAGTGAAAGCGATCCACGTTCTGAAGATAAATCATTTAGCCTACGTAGGAGAGTAGGCTGTAGTGGGTCTTGGAGACCATGAAGGGAGAAATGCTTGGAGAGGTAAGAATCTCTAATCCCGTTGAAGCACTTTGAGTGAAAGCGATCCACGTTCTGAAGATAAATCATTTAGCATACGTAGGAGAGTAGGCTGTAGTGGGTCTTGGAGACCATGAAGGGAGAAATGCTTGGAGAGGTAAGACTCTCTCATCCCGAAGACTTTTCTGAAGAAAGGGCGATTGAGAAAGAATAGATGTTTGCAGGGGTGTTTTGAGGTCCAGTGTATATTTTCAGGATGGAAGTGACAGGAGCGGTATTGATAGCTAAGGAAACAGCACCGGATTAGATGAGGCATTGACAAAGCTGGTAATCTTGGGAGTCATGGTGGCTAGATAGCGAGGGGTTAATATTGGTGGACAGAAAATTGAGGATGAGAGAACATGTTTTTAGTTTTGGAGGTGATTGTTGCAATAACAACAAAAAGTCATGGTGGAAGGCTGAAGGATGTCGGGCATGTGATGGGGAGATGTACAAACAGGCAATAGGAGGGGCTACAATCCATGACGTATTCATAGAAATTGGAGAAGAGTTGTTGGCAACTGATGAGAGCAGTGCAGAACGGGGTGTTCCATGGATGCAGGAGTTAGGTTACAGTCCTGAAAAGAGAATAAGGATTTCCGGCATCATCTTTGATCAAATGGCTGTGGGAGACGATTTGTACGTTGCCAGAGATGACCGATACGATTTGATGAGAGACCTCCCAATACAGGTTGTGGATTACAAAGCCAGATATGTTTTCTTATATCGTCTCAAATCTATGACCAATGATTTATTTCCCAAAGGAGGAGGGTGGATTGTGATGCAGGGAGATGAGTTTCTAGAAGGGGTACGAGTCTTCAGAAGGGGCGAGATAATTCACAGCAGCAGAAAAGGTGGCATCGCAGGGCTATCAAGGGGCATTGAAGCACGGACCGAGAGACAATGTAAGAGCAGAAATGTTAACTACTTCGCATGGTATACAGGAGGTTGTTCAATCTCGAGCCGGACTCCTGTATATTTGGAGTTTGCATATCTCTCTCTCCGTGGTCGTGTGGATTTTTCTCCAGGTCCCCCGGTATATCCCCTCCACATTTAGGAACATGTGTTTAGAGCATTTGGCTGCTATACATTTCCACATGATAAGCCACTTTGTTAAGCTATCATTTGTGGCCAGGTTGCTTCTGAAAAAGAGCTACGTAGCTCAGTGGCCTTTGACCCGGCTCACTTGAGCCAAAGGCAAGCCTGAGCTGAGCCGTCACGAGCAATATTGGCTATTGAGTTTGTTGAGGTGGTGGTGACAGATTGCCCTCGATAACTTACAGTGCCTCATAAAGCCTGCAGTTCCCCAATATTGCATGCGGTCTATGTGGGTTACATGGGGATCTTTGTTTAATGTGTTTGTGTATTAAAGAAAGTTTATTTGGTGTCTGTTGTATATGCATGTGTGTGTGTGTTTTCATGTATGTGCATGTGTGTATCTGTATTGTTCTCATGGCAGGGAGTGGTGGGGCAGTGGTTGGCACACCGCTACGAACCCAGAAACCCGCTCATGACCAAGATCGGTGACGAATAGCTGAACCGCTCCTGGGCCTTCCCTAGGCCGACTCAACTGCAAATGAGTACCTGGGCCACCTTTTGTAAACATAAGCACTGGGGAGACCAAGGCGGCTGGGCGTGGTGTTGGCCACCCACCCCCTCGTGTGCCGTTCCGGCCTTCATAGGTGCTCGCTAACAGCACTAACAGTCTGTTGAAGGCTATTTGAAGGGTCTTCTTGTCTTTGTCTTTTGTTCCCAGGGTGACCAGGGTTGCTGGCGCTATGACTTTCCGAGGCCGGGTAGGAATCTGGGTGAGTGGCACTAAACTCCGTGACATGGACATGGAGGAGTTTGCAGAGATCTGCCGGTGAGCACGCAGGGGGGGGCAGTGTTGTTAGGGTTTGGGCTAATGGCTGCCTCACATAAACTAACGCCAATTGCACCAAACGTCACTGCACCTCCTGGCTTTGACATTCCTTCTCGAAGACACCGGTGGAACAATCAACCGCATCAGAACATCGACGGACCGATGCGCAGGTCTCCTTCATGAATGGAAAATTAAAGACACTGACCCATAGATATGCATTAAAGATGACAAGCCACAGTACTGTGATTGTGGCCATGCAATGCAAACTATGGACAGTCTGCACTCCTTCACCGGAGTAATAGCAAACTATACAAATTCTCTCCTGAAGCCTGCTCTTGGCCAACCACATTTAATATTGGAATTTAGCTCTTGAGCATATATAATTGCACCATGAGTTGGATGTTATGGAGACACATACTTCTATATGCTTGTAGCATGTATATCTAGATTACTGCCACTTTCTCTCATGGTTTGAGAAGAGATAAATTTATTCAATTGAATTAATACTCTGACAAACTCCCAACATGTGAAGCGACAAGTCTTGACATCATTTCCAAAAAAACGTGCGGCACAACCCCCGAAAAAAACAATGAAGAGCTTTACAGCACCGCTGCGAAAACCTCCACGGTAGTGCTGGACCCTCTTCTTGTTTACAGTCTTTATTTAGCCGGTCTACAGACGGTTGAGATTCAGTATGTGAGTGGAGTCTCGTATTGTTGTGGACATAAACTCCGCACGTATTCACACAGGATGTTAATCGCAGTGTGCCTGAGGGCCATGCAAGCCTTACGGAGCACCCGACCTATATTTACATTGGCTACTCCACTCGTATGTGGCCCCTGACCACCACGTGAATTGCACCCATCCACACAAACACATGCCTATGTTACACACTGAAGGCTTGTGTACCATTACCCGGAATGCCCAGAGGTCTGAACGGCTGTGACGGCATGCACAATATCGCCTCCATCTCTCGCGGACTCTCACCGGCCTCAGCGCGCATCCACCACGGCCATCCCAAGCATCGCTCTCGTGCTGCTCATCCGCCACGCTTCTTTCGCCTCCCTCTCCCTCGCCCGTCTTCTGTAAATAATCCCCTCCAGAAGTGACCGAGGTGTGTGCTCACGTGCGGCCTGCCAAGGTAATGAAAGTCCTATACTGCCCTCGGTAAGCAAAATGATCTCCACCCCTGGGTTAGATAAATACGGAGAAAGAAGACATCCTTGACACACATCCTGTCCAATCTCGAACCCGTGAAGCCACTTTCTGCTCGGCAAATGGTGACTTTTAACAACCATTAGATGATGTTAATGATTATTTGTGTTCCGAGTTATATAACAGTTCCAAGTCGGTGACACGCGTGCAGTGATTCAGGTGCTATGACGAAGGGTCGTCCAAAATGTTGCCTTTTATATTGGTTTTCTTTTAAGGCCTTGGTGTTGTTGACGAATGTGAGTTTTTTGTTAAACTTGCGGTCTAGGTAAATTCCACAGTAATGAAATTACTGAATAGTACATGGAACATGATGATTACAACATGTCATGTAAGAATCTCTCTTATTATTGTTACCTTCTGAGTCACCCGTTTGTGTGTGTGTGAACTAATTTGTGTGTATTTATCCCATTAATTGACAGTATTTTTTTTCCTTTTAGGGAAAAGAAAATAGAAGTGATAAAGGTGATGTTGATACACGGACACGACTGTGCTAAAATATTACTTCAATGTCGTTTGCAAGATGCACATATAACATTCTATTTTATGAAATTGACAAATATATCCCTGGTATTTTAAGCAGGGTTTGTCCACATTTTTCAATTCCAGTTTGAAGCGAGGATTAACCAGAGCTCGTCTATTTATAGAACAATGCATCAGCATTTCTTAATTTAGCACCGCGAAGCAAAATGCACAACTATACTGTACCAGATTCACAACATTCAAAATCCAAAAGATGAAAGTGAACAATATATACTCTTTGGTTCTTTCAGTAAAGTCACGTAGGTCGAAAAACTAATAGATCACGACATTTTGATCGCAACACAAGCAATCGTCTTCTGGTGAACAAGAGGGGGAATCTGCTGAGGCAGGAGGTTTATAAAGGCTTAGAGATGGGCGGGGCAGCTAATGTTAATGTAGGAGCAAGCAGGAGAGAGCGAGTAGGAGAGAGAAATTTGTTTGTAAATGTAAGCTTGGCTAGGACACAGAAATTTGAGAGTCGGCGAATATTGGCAGGTAGGAAGGGAACACCATAGCAGTTAAAACTTTACCTGGTTGATCACGTCCTTCCAATGATTGCTTAATTTGTATCCATCTTCTCGGTTGAAGTTATGTCTGTGTTTATAAATCTGGATGGCTTCATGGACAAATCTTTAATGGTAGCCCGAAGGTTTGCAGAGTACCTTGGTCTCGGAAAAAACTATTGTGTGAGCCCACCGCGTTCAAACAGTGATCAGCCACGGCAGAGGTATTGGTTCTGCCGTGTTTCAAATCTGCCCTGCGTTCGCGAACACGGTCCCAGACATGTCGTTTCGTTTCCCCAATGTAACTGCTGCCGCAGACACAACTTAGTTTGGAGACACCAGGGTATTGCATGTCAGGAATCACATCTTTCACAGATGGGATCAAATCACGGATTTTGTGTACTGTGTTGAATGGAACCTGGATCTTGTGTTTGTTCAAAATTTTGGAAGTTGGATGCAAATGAGTGCTCGTGTGATGGTCAAGATAACGGAGTTAAAGAAACATAGAATCGAGACGGAATGAAGAATAAATTAATACGGTACAACGTCGCGTATCCGGCTCGCTGGCGATTGAGGTATAGGTGGATATGTGAAAAGGTCAGATGTGGGAACAGCTTTGGAAAACGACAGTTACACCGTGCGCCAATGCTGCACTCCAGGTGCGGGTGGTTGATTGGTCAGGGCGGACATGGGAAGGTCAGGTTGCCGACGTTATACTGTACAAACGACGCTGTTTAAAACGAGATGATTAAAGAATTCTCAATTGGATTGCAACCCCCAAGATTTCATAAATAAATCTCTGGCGTGGCGTGAGAATCTACATAATTAACTTTATATAAATATATAAAGGAGTGACACAAACATGCCTTTTATCAACGTTATACATTTTTCGAGTTTGTTTTTATGCAAACATGATTTGTTGTAATCTTCACGAAATGCAACATATTTTTTCACTTTCTAACGTAATATTAACAATCCAGTGGAGGATTACTCTGTGCAAGTGTACCTAGGCAACCCACGCCTCTACTCGTGTCGAAGGTTATCATAGTGGGTGGTCCCTTTGCACCGCAGTGCCAATATCCATAGTTCAATCCCTGACTGTGATGCTCATCACCGTTGGAAATTGGTTTGTGAATCTGTCTTGAGCCTCTTCTAGATTGACAATGATAGGGCCAACACTGACAACAGGGAGGTTGTGGTGTGAGTGGGTCCATTGACCTTTTTTGTGTACCTTCCGGCTTTAATAGGTGCCCGCTAATGGCGCATGTCCCGGGAGACTCCAGTGTATGCAGTCTCAGAGGAGGATCTTTGCACGTGTGTGCACGTGGGGAGCGGTAGTTTAGCGTTTAGCACGTTGCGCTGCGCATATGGCGACCCAAGTTCGATTCGCGCTCATGGCAAACACCAGTGACGATTATCTAAACTGGACCTGGGCCTCCCCTAGGTCGACTCGGCTTCAAATGAGTACCTGGTGTGATGTGTAAACTTCGCCACTAGGGAAACAAAGGCGCGTGGTGCTGGCCACCCACCCCCTTGTGTGCTGTGCTTGCCTTCATAGGTGCTAAGCTAACAACACTTGCCCCAACAGTCTATTAAGGGTATACGGGGTTCTTTGTCTTTTGATCTTTTTGCAGATAAACCAGACCCGGCCTCTGAGCGAGCAGGGCTCCTTCCAGGTGCTCATTCACCGGCTCACGGAGGAGATGCACAATGCCAGCACCGGAGATACACGCGCACGCAGAATCATAGATGACTTCCAGGTGTGTGTCCTTGTCATTATCATCGTCGTCATTGTAATCATCATCCCCAAATCACTATTAGTAAGGTGTAAACAAGGTCCATGCAATAATCTATGTTCAATTCGACTGTAAAGCTGTGATATGAATAAACCAAATTTTAATAGAATATTTAATGTATGAATTGTTCAGAGTGATTTGCTCATTGGCACACGAGAGACGCGACATTTCTGGTTATGTCGGTGGTGAGGTATGAACTCATAGGCCCTGAAGCTCATGGAGTGTGGTTCGTGTGGGCTCACAGGAGTACATCACCTCCAGGCCAGGCATGCTGGTAATGGACCCCCTGGACAGCATAAAGACCCTCTTGGACCGAGGGGTCACCTACTCGCTCATCAGACGCCTACAGCAAGGGGGAACAGGTCAGCGGCACAGCTGTGTGCGTGTATGTACAGGGGGAGCGGTGGCACATGGATTGGTGTGCTGCGCTACAAACCCGGCCATCCATGCTCGATTCCCGCTCACGGCTACCAATGTCATTGATGATTATTTGAACCGGTCCTGGGTCTCCCCTAGGTCGATTCGGCCTAAAATGAGTACCTGAGGCTGTGTGTAAACATCGCCACTAGGGAGACGAATGGCAACCGGGCCTGGTGCTGGCCACCCACTCCCTCGTATGCCGTTCCGGCCTTCATCGGTGCTCCTCGCTAACAGCACTTGCTCCTGCAGTCTGTCAAAGGCTATAGGGCGAGGGGGTATCTTTGTCTTCGTTAAAATAAACACTTGCAGGTCAGCTTTTCCATTATCCATCTTGATTTTACCAAGGCTGAATTGTGAGGAGCTCTCATACACCACTGAGATGTCTGGACAGAGTCCCATCAAGTGGGCTCCGACAAGTTAAAAGGCATTTGCTGGGTCATGTAGCCCACGAACAAAGCTACTGCATGCCTCAAGGAGCCTATTTGGCTGCATAGAGGGGGCTAATTGGGGACAGGACAGGCTAAAGAAGAGATAGGCTGATGTGGTAAGGGATATTTAAAGCCTCGTGGGACCACCAACATCTGGTTCCATTGATGCCAAGATTAGCCCGTGTGGAGGAGGCTTGTACACATTCTAGTTTAACACATTTAAATTTTGTTTGCATTAAAGGATGTGACATGATACCATGCCACATGTCACCATGTCACATCCACATGGTACCATGTCACATGTCCACAACATTTGACAGTGATAATTTCCACAGTTGGTTATGAGCCACTGTTGAAAGATCCACATTCAAATGTCAGGGATCATTTAGTCCATTCCAACCACTGTTATTGTATTTCCAAAAATGGTACTGATTTGTTCAAGCCCAGAAGAATGATTGGTTGAGTAGACACCCAGTGGGAATGATACGTATATTTTGTTATTGATTGCACAAAACTTTAGTTTTGTTAAATTTGTATATAATTCTACATATTTTTTAATGTATGTATATATTTTTTGTTCCGAACTCGAAATGTCCAAAATGATACCTCATTTGGCACTTAATTACAGTACATCACTTTACTGTATTCAACCTTTCCATTGTTATTTAAATGCTCTTACGCCACAGTACTTAGCTGCCTGGCTAACCGGTCAGCTGACTATATTATTATTACTACGACTACTCTTTGCTGAGCCGTCATATTCAAACTTTCACACCCCATTCGTCTCTTAGCTACACTAAGTCACTATACACTACTATATATACAACCATAACTGTGCGTTAGATACCCCGATGACAGAGCGTTTAACCTACCAGCTCAAGGTGGCCTTTCCACCGAAGAATGTCGCTGATCGTTGCCTTAACCTGCTTGTGGGCAGCAACAGATGATGGGATCTGCATTCCCAACTTCGTGGAGCTCAAGACATCAGATCCTGGCGAGATCTGCAACCTGATGGCTCAGCACGGTGTCACGTTTCCATTCGGTGAGACTGCGGCGTCACGGTTACAATGCAGCACGCACGCCACGGGGGAGGCATGCGCTCGCAAGCGAAACGTTCACCCAGCGCCAACGGTGATGGCAAATCACCTTTACAGAGCGCCTTTCTACAAGGTGTTCACGGTGCCGTGCGTCACCATAAATAAATAAGTTGTTCGCCATGCGGAGGAAATACCGAGAAGACAAATAGGAGATAATTTAGAGAACTGAAAGCAAGAGTAAATAAACTACTGCGGTTTGCATTTTTTTTTATTTACCAGGTAATTCCCACTAAGCTATTGGCTCTTTGTCAAATGCAACCTGGCCAGACTTGATAGCTCATCGCAGTGGCTTATATCATCACACCTGGGAATTCTTAGTCACAGCCAAATAATCTGAGCGCACGTTTCTAAATGTGGGGGGTGAAACGGGAGGGACCCGGAGAAAACTCCACCAACGACGGGGAGAGAGAAGACTCGAATTCAAAACATACAACAGGCATCATCCGAATCGGAATGGAACCCACTATGCCCTCTGGTGTACCAGGTGAGGGAGACGACAGCTCCTCGCCACCGCTGTGCCTGTTGAGGCAGGATTTAAACTCCGCCACCGTCTCCCATTAGCGGAGAGCGCTGGGTAAGGCGCTGCACAGCCAGGGAGGAGAATGCCTAGGGGGCACCGGCCATCGATGAGTCTGGTGCTGTTTCTTTATTTTACCTAAAATTACATAAAATTTCAGCATTGCCATCAATGTCACAAGACAATAAAATGTACATTCGAAAGCAGCTGGCAGTGCATCGCCTTTGTGTGGGAGAACGGCAGCGGAAGATGACATCACAACTTCTCGAGCTTGTAAACGTTTTGGGAAGAGTGTCAGTTGGAGCCTCTACCACCTACTTGGATTGCTGAGAAAGAACCAAAGGCATGCAAAGCTATGAGAATCCAAATTGTGTGGTGATACTGCGTTGGCAGACAAACACAATAGGTGACGTTTTGGGTAATGGCCCTGATTCATTGCACATAAATAGAGAGGCCAGAGAGGTCAAATGAATACAAGTTAGTGCTCTATACATCTTGCAGTCTACATTCATCTGAGGTGGTGTTTAAATGATGCATTTTAATATCACGTGTTCATATCCTTTTGCCTTTTGCAGTTTGTAAGACAAAAGTGGCTGAAGCAAACAATTCTAACGAGGTAAGGTCATACGTATGTGTGTACGTTGAATTTATTGTGCATCGTACGTAGCCAACCATGCTAATTTGGTAAATGTTAGTCCTGGACTAAATGAAAATGCAATGATGTTGTTGTTCAAACTTATGATGCACTTAATTAATTACAGATTTAGCATTCCAAAAAAAATATATCACTTTGAGTGGAAGCCACACAGCCTTTGGAGAGGTTCATCCTCGTCATAGGAAATTTGACTTTCCACCACTGCTTAAGGGCTGATCACTGCCTCAATGCTCATTTGAGCAGCAGGAAATCACTTCGACTTTTCCCTTAGAATTTATTTTAGATCGGCCAATAAGATTTGCCGATTCTTAGTGGGTGGGGAGGTTCTGGCGTGTTGAGGGGAGGGGCATTGGGCTGCTCCGACACTCATGTCCTTGGGTGGGAGCTTTATTATTATCCAGGGACATAATTATTTGCTCCCCTGCTGACCGTTTTTTCCACGAATAGTGTTTTTTTTTCTCCCACCCCTCGGCCGTCAATTTCCCTGCCCCCCAAAAGTGTCCGTGCCAAAATGGTGGCCTCACGAATAACCCACGACACGTTGGCAGCGTGGCACGTTTCGTTTTATTTTCTTCAAAGAATAACGCAGATCTCTCGTCTTGCCCGTCCCATCGCCCGCAGTCACTTATCCGCTCGGCTCGGCTCGGCCCGGCCCAGCCGATGGCGCCGTAGCTAATTTCACGTCGGCCCGGGATAAAATACAGTGACGCGCTCGGTGGGCAATTCCCTCCCCGCATTGACTCCTGCAGATGATGGTGATTTTCGGGCGTCGGGGCCTGAGGGAAGTGCGGCCCCCGTGCGTGGCGCAGAGCTTCATCAACCACAACGCCGTGCTGCACAAGGTGTACGTGGTGGGCACTCGCTGGGTGCACAGCCTGCGGCTCTCCATCAAAAACTTCCCACAGGGAGAGCACGGTGCGTCGTGCGTTGCTCCAGAGAGAGAGAGAGAGTGTGCGAACTTACACATTCGCCACCTTCATCATTCTGTTGTCGAGCTCTTTGTCAATCCACTGCTGGATGAGGGCCTCCCCATGCCGTGTGGGGGCCATGGTGGGTTTATTTGGCCATACTTCACGCTGTGTGGCGTGGGTTGGTGAAGGCAAGGGAGCATGTGGGGGACATAGCAGCCTATAGCACCTGCTAAATACATGGTGGTCACCCATCCAAGCACCATCCAGGCTTAGCCCCTGCTTAGCTTCCATGATCTCTATGCACGTATGTAGAACTTCTTTTGCACTGTATGTAGTCAACTTTGCTAATTAGAGGTGTGGGGGAAGGACAACAAAGTAAACACGAAAAGCAGTTCTAAATAAATTATTATTCAATCTAGATTTACAAGTAACATGTGATCTCCAAGTATACATTCTACCAATCTCTCTGCCCTTCTCTCCCTCTGATCTGAAAAAGGGCCATTGCTGTATATATTTTCTGTAAATAGCAAGCATTCATAATGAATTGCATTCTGCTTTTTTAATTAATGTCCTTCATTAACAATGTCCTGCATTAACAATGAGCAAAGTTTAAGCTGCACGAGAAGGCAGTCAGGTGGACTGTTGCAGTGATCAATAATTGCCTGTGATAGAACATGTCGATCCAGGGCTCAAATTCCAAGCAACTGTCAAAGATGAAACCAGATTCTCATATTTCATGAGTTACTGGTCTCAGTCCAGTCACCAATAACTGCACAATGAAACCCAGCACGTAAAAAATATAAGTCACCTATGGATTTTCCAGCTTTGAGAATTTAATAAGTTGGCATTATACGCATGCAATTAACACTCCTCACAAGGCATATAGAAAGTATGCCCCGAGCGTGGATAAAAGAGGCCTGTTGAGGTGATTTCAGAAGTAGTTCTGTGGTACACTGCGAGTTGTAGGAGTTCCAAACGAAAACGTCTTCGTGATATGACAAGAACACGATTTTAATTTGTGGATGAAAGCAAAACATTTGAAATAGTGGCTCTGTCCTCAAGCCCTTGGCAGTCTTGGGTTGCCACCTCATAGATACAATTAAACCGACACATATCATGGAAAGAGGAATATCCTGAAATATTATAAGAGGGGAGAAGAACATGACTTGAGAACTGTATTATTAAGCAACTGACAAGCTGAGACTTGTAATGTCCCCGGAAGACTTCAGATATCATAGAGCGGCGATGTCATAAAGAGGACGATCCTGGGAAAAGCAGGACAGGTGGCGACCTGAAGTATGCTTCCTCCTGATAGCACATCTTTTAATTAACCTCGGATGCATTATATATATTTTTTAAAAATGTATTGTAAAAAACAATGTATTAGTCGGTGTCATGCACTCATTAAAATTTCACTGCGGTGATGTCGCCTTGCAGATGCAGACACGGTTTTCTTTCACAGCCATGAGGTCTGCAAACCAAACAAGAACTCCCCTCTCTCAGTCGTAAGTTTACTCACCGTGGCTTTCCCTAGTAAAATAAATTATTATTACTATGGCAAAAAAAACACCTTTTACAATACTTGTGGTCAGAATGCAAACCAAAAAATACTCTGATAATATATGCATTGTCTTTTAAACTGATTGGTCCACACCAGAGACAGCTTTCTTTTGAGCCTCGTCTCAAACGGTGTTAGACCAGAGGATGCCAAAAGGCGAACAGCTCAAAGACAATTCCACTATCAAAGTAATGAGAGCTCGGTGTGAGCTTCTACATCATGGGACCTGCTTTGCCAGTAACAAAATATGAGAATAAGTGTTTTTTGTTGCCATAAAAAAGGGGAAAAAAAACCTATTCTCATATTTTGGTACTGGCAAAGGAGGTCCCGTGATCTAGATTATTAGACTTTGTGTACCCAAGAAAACCGTCACTCTTGTCACAACACCGATACATTCCTCTGCGAGTATTTCGCGTGGGAGCAAAAAGGTGTGGACGGAGAAAGCCCCACCCATGCGGCATAAACATCTTCGTAGACAGGCCAGCAACCCACTTAGCAGCTTATTTGTAAGCCAACAGCAACGTGAGCGGTGCGGACCAACCAGTATGAGGCAGAGGGAAGCGTTTATGCTTCGTGAATACCACCCGGTGTAGTGATAGTCAACGGTGGTTGTCCAGAGGAGGAGACTTGCCCCAGCCATAGGATTGTGGAATCCCCATCACCGGCTCAGGACTCTAATGAGATGTGCAAGCCTCTCTCAAAGGTCATTCGGACAGAAATTCCCTTGGACTTTTTTCTTTGTGAATACTCGTAAAGGACGCGTTGCTCTGCCGCAGCAGAATAAGAGACTGCTGTCTTTGTCATACTCACAAGCCTGTACTACTTGCCACACTAAAAGTAATCTTCTTTTATGTAATACAATGCCGTGATAATATGTATTGTGAAATTCTTTTTTTTATATATATTCTGTTGGATTTAAAGAATATTCTGGCAAAATAATTACTTTAATAGCACAAATTGAAAAGTTAGCAATTTTAAAATATCCGTGTCAGTATTAGTTACTCCCACCTCTTCGATGTCACGAGTATGTCTTTCAAACCTTTTCTGCCGTTTCAATTTAATTCGATGCTTATTGGCAACACAAAAAATCCGGTTTAGCAAGTTGCGTCGGTGGTGTTGGTGGCTGTGGCCCACGGCAGCCACTACCAACAACAACAGAGTCGCTGTTGGGGTAGAGAAGAGCCCAGCCAACTCGAGGCGTAGATTATAAAAAATCCAAAGTATAAAGTGGCAAGTACTGTAATGCTGACGTGTAAAAATCAAAGGTTGTGGAAACATGTAAAAATAACGCGACAGGCGTTGCCCCCCAGTGCGTGCGAGCGCGGGTCGCTAACGCTGCATCTCCACGAGGGTTTGGGATTAAATCGTTTTTGTTGCGTTACCGGCAACTGGCATAAAATACGCGGCCAAAAACCGGTCGCTGGTTTCTCACAAGCAATAAATAGGAATGTTGAGTTATGAATGTAAATGTTTTTCATTTTAACTGAGAAACAAGCGGAGGCGCCACAGTTAGTCGATCAGCAGGTGCAATGTGTTGCGGAGTAAAGCGTGGGTACTTCCACCTCTTCCAACACGCCTGCTCAGCGTGGAAGAGCAGACAAAATGCCCTGTAAATCTTCCTCCAGTGTGGGCTCATCCGCCAGCAGTGGCGTGAAGAAAGAAATTGCAAGGCTGTACCTTTAACTTTTTGCCGTGAAGCGTTGTTCATGTTCGCGCGTGCCAATCGCTGCGTTCGTTACTGAACTTCCGCCGGAATCGGTTACCGCTTCTTGGCTTTCAGAAACCCGATAACCGATTGTGAAACCGGTTTAGCGGTGATCCCTTTGACGGCGCTCATTTTTAATGGTCTCCAGTTGGACGACGAGGAACCGCCCATGCCAATGCCGCTGTGCGAGCGCTGGGTGCACAAAGTGGTGCACGCCCTGCAGGACGCGCTGCACGTGACGCTCGTCGGCGTGGACGTGATCGTGGAGAACGGCACCGGGCGGCACTATGTCATCGACGTCAACGCCCTGCCCTGTACGTGCACTCGCACAGCACGCACACGCTGACGCTCCCCGCTGCAGCATCCGTTTCTAGCTCGCTGCTCTAAGAGGGATTGTGGTGGTGGTTGTCTTCGTCGTGAAGCTGCCCCATCCCTTCCCTGACTGTTTCCACCCCCACTACCCAAACATGCCCGCCCCTGTGTCTGGAGGAAGGAGTGGGGCCTAAGCAGGATGAGGCAGAGCCTAAGTAAGAGGGGGCGGGTCCTAAAAAGGAAAGTCCTGGGCATACAGAGGTTGAACTTCCCTTTTGATTTCAGGTGATAAAAGCAGAGAATGAAATACGTGCAGCAGGCAGACTCGTAGCTTTAATGCTGCAGATCTGGCCGCAGGCCAGCTTGTCAGGTTTATTATTGTTTAACCAGGTGAGAACTCAAGAGACCAGGATTGGGTCTCTTTTCCAAGAGTGATCTCGGGCATGAATCTGCCAGTAAGGTGTGGTGATTACAATGTATAATCCCAGTTGAGTAATTTAGCGTAGTTAATTCTAGATTTGAAGCTTTCGTGACTGCAAGAATTCATACTCTTTGGTTCTATTCGGTAAAGTCACGTAGGTAAACAAATTAAAAAGAAAAGAAACAATTAAAACACGACGTTTCGGAGGCAACGCAAGCTTCCTTCATCAGGTGGTGGCTGTGACTGATCCCACCTGATGAAGGAAGCTTGCGTTGCCTCCAAAACGTCGTGTTTTAATTGTTTCTTTTATTTTTAATTTATTTTTTACCTACGTGACTTTACCGAATAGAACCAAAGAGTATAATTTAGCGTACTCGACTGTGGGGGCAATGGTGTCTAGCGAGCAACTATTAAGGCTTGCCAGTCGCACAATGATAATAAGAATAACAACGTAATAATATTCATTTATAATTTGTAACACACACAGGTTTTATTAACTGTCAAAGATAGCGAGAGTGATTCAGCGCGGAAAACCACAGAGAAGCGGGAAGGCAGCCAGAAGCGGCGGGAATAATCGCCCAAGCTCTGTGGTCCTGTATTGGAATGTGTTTTGACGTGTGGGAGGAAACCAGAGTACCTGCACAAAACCCGCACGTGCGCGGGAGGGGGGGGTGCGGTGCTAGAACGCGATCCTCATACAGATATAAATGTGTCTGGCAAGCCATGAGATGGCAACCACAACGCCCAGAGGTAGGGAGAGAGTTTCACGAGTTGGTGCGATCCATCCACCAGTCCTCGGTGCTGCCTCCACAGTGCTGGATTGCAGGCCACGTGCAGCATGGCCACCGGGGCCTGGCGGTTGCAATGGCTACGACCATGCCTGGCGGTTGCCTTTGCCAAGGGTAGACATTTAATCACCGTGACTCATCCGCAGAAAGTGGGTCATTCTGTGTAAGTGGGCTGATTCCTTTTCATGAAGCTAATTGAGCCGAGCTTACATTTACAAGCAAATTTCTCTCTCCTGCTCGTTCCTACATTAACATTAGCTGCCCGCCCATCTCTAAACCTTTATAAACAGCCTGCCTCGGCAGATTCCCCCTCTTTTTTAACCTGAAGACGGTTGCTTGTGTTGCGATCAAAACGTCGTGATCTATTAGGTTTTCTACCAACGTGACTTCCGAAAGAACCAAAGAATACTAATTGATATTGTTTGATGATTATGGTGGTGGCGGAAATGTTCGTTGGACCCTATAGGCAACCAAGCATTTCCCTTGTAATCAGGACCTGCAGTTGTGCCATTCTCACACACTCGGCCAGATTTTATTTGCTGGATGATTGTAGTTGAGACGTGTACGACGAGCTGAGTGTGTGATGCACCCACTTGCCCACTCAGGCAAACGCCCAGCTGCCCAGTGACCCAGCCCAAAGAATGCCGGTGGTGGCTAAGATGATGACTGTGATTACGATGCTGTTTACGTCGACAATAACCATGATGATTTTGTCGTCACAGCATACGATTGCGTGCCGGAGTTTTCAGAGTGGCTGGCCGACTACCTCAACTCTGTGATGAAATAAGGACAAAGAGTCACCCTGAAGCCTGTTCCATGAGCGAGCGCGTACACTTGAGTTTACTTCCACCGCTCCCTTGGCTTCACTGTGCACTGGGCTCCACCTGAGTTCAGTTGAGGCCAACAGAGCGGAGGCACACATTCCTTGAGCGCATAAACCCAGCATCTTAATTAACGCAACCCCGTCAGCGGATTAATGAAACAAAAAAAGGAAACGTATTGTGACACATCGGGTTTAGATTAAAGTCTACCATTTTTATGCATGGTAATTCTTACGACCGTAAAATTGGGTTGTTTCATTTCTTTAAGGGAACTATTGCGCAAGAAGCTGTTAATGTTGTCGCAGATTTGAGTGTGCGACAAAACAGTATTTTTCTACACAAATGTAAGCGAACGAAATCTAATTGCATTAGCCTACTATACAGCAGCAAAGAAATGCAGAAACTGTGCACAACCATTTTGTTAATCTTGTATACTGTATATATTATTTATACAGTGTGTTGTTTGTATTTTGGCTCCTCTCATGAAACGTCGTTTTCTGCCCTTTTTAAATAAATGAGGCTTTCAAAGTAACCGTTAAGTAATTATTACGATCCGGCCGGGTGGCTCAGCGGTAGAGCCAAGCGGCTCGCAATTGGAAGGTCGTGACCTCAGATCCTGGTTGGCGGGAGAGGGGGGGTTGACTAGGCCTTTCATCCCTCGGGTCGATACAGATGACTCCCACTTTGTTGGGAGGTCAACAACGGTGGTTGCCCGATGGAGACACTCGCCCACACCTCCCATTACCACGGCTGACTATGTACGGTGCGAAATAAGTTCAACATACATACGACCACCATCATAAGAACATGGAATCGCCAGTACTGACTCAGGGCTGTAACCGAGAGGTGAACACCAATGCCTTAATGCTCATTTGGGCAGAAAACCACTTTACGTTTTGGCTGTTGCATAGTTCTGCTCGTGAAGGACAGAGAACACCTTTTAAAAATGAGCATAATTTAAGTAAACCTGTATTGATAACATTTACATTAAATGATTACTATCCCAAGTTAACACAACAATTGGCATTAACAGCTGACTTGAAAGCAATAGTTCATAAGACGTACTGTTTTAAATTAATTGCGTGAGTATTGGATTCATTTTAACTCATTGACCTCTGGATTTATAGGCAGATTTTTGCAAAATCAAATGAGCAATGTGAATGTGCCTTAATATATTTCTATTATCAAAGACAAGATCATTTTGTTTGCAATGAGTTGGGTTGCCGTGATATAATGTTTCACAACACGATACTATAGAATTTGAATGTTCACGGCATGACTATTATCGCGATATCAGCTTCCCATAACTTTGCGATTGTTTAACATTTTTTCGCCGTTAAGTAGGATTCAAGATTTGGTTGAAAAAGTTTTTCATCTGTAATTCACTCAACCAAGCTGTCATCAGTCTTGCAATCTCTGAATCAGCTCAAGCTTCCTGTAAGTCACGTGACTTGTGAATCCCTCTCCTCTCCCCCGCCCGCGGTGAAAACACGCTGCACCATGCAGCTTTGAGGCCCTCTTCCTCCCCATTCTCATCTCCCCTCACCCGTTGCTCCCATTTTTTTCCCATTCCGTTTCCATCCTTGTCATCTCATGTCCCATTCTGTATCTTCTCTCGTTCGCTCTTCCCATTCGTCATATCCTTGACTCTCCTCCCCTTTCCGTGGAGTGCCGCCATGGGTGCAACAGTTGCTCGCCTTTGCAACTTTATAATCTACGATGCGTACAATGCGCCCACCGTCAGTTACAAAATATAAACGAATAATAACTACGAAAGCAATGTCAACTTCCACCGATATTCAAAGCGCTGATTTAATGAGGTTATCGCCTTCAATTATTGTTACTCGATAAACATTGTCCGGGACATTAAGTGCGTTAGAAGAAAGATAATCGCGATAACGCGATATTTTTGCGAAACGGACGGCGAGTTTTTTCCCCACGGACATCGCCAATATCGCGGCAACCCTGGCTACGAGACTGATTTGCGTTTCCGAGTTACGCGACATTGGGGCATTGTGTGCGTCCTCTGTTCCGTGTTGACATGTATCAAAGGCAAGAACATACCGGATATATGTTATATGCTGCTGATATAATTGTTTACAATTGAAACGTGTATCAATTCTGTCTATTGGCACATTTCTGTTGGATAACTATAAGCTGATCCTTATTAAAACCGTTGAACCTGTGTGTTTGGTGTAACGTACTCATGCATCGATACATTTATCTTTAAAAAAAGATAAATAAACAATTGTGGACATTAGCACGGTTATTGTTTTACGGCAGATTTGCATTGTTATTTTTGTACAACTTTTATTCTGAATGAGCATAACCGTGTCGTTGTGCATACTCATGGATACATTGTGGATGTTTTGTAGCACAGTATTGTATCGTTTCATCTTGTTTGACCGACAAAGTAAACGGTTAATAAAACTTGAACGGCGCATACCACTGGCAGAATACTTGGGTCGAGAATGCTTATTTTTCAGACTGGAATTAAAATACCAATCTCACGTAAAATGTTTGTTAAAAAATAAATATAAACTATTCAAGCTGTAAGACTGGATATGCTCAATGTGTGTGTGAAGCTGTGGTGCAACGGTCGGGTGCTGCTGTACGAACCCTGGGTTCCGAGTTCAATTCCTGCTCATGGCCACCAACAGCAGTGAGGGATTTTCTGAACCAGTCCTGGGCCTCCACTAAATCAACTCAACCTGAAATCGGTACCGAGTGCGGTGTGTAAACATCGACGCTGGGGAAGCTAAGGCGGTTTGGCGTGGTGCTGGATACCCACCACCTCGTGTGCCGGCCTTAAGGGGTGCTCGCTAACAGCACTTGCCCCCAAACAAGTGTGTTAAGGCTATACGGGGAAACTTTGTTTTGTGTATGGTAACCTGGGATTCATGCCTGCCCATGAGCTGGTGGCAAATGGTATTCGATCGGACCTTGGGCCTCCCGCACCTCCGATTGGCACGGTTGGCTATGTACGGTGCGGACGAAATTTCTACATACAAATAATACAGGTAAAAGTGCAGCCCTGCAATTACATGCTGACATCCACTGCTGGTAGAATGACCTCCCCACGGCTGAAGTCTAGAGAGCCCCCTCTCGAGTCTATTTTGGCCTACTCTTCCATGCTGGCCTGACGTCTCGGAAGAGGTGGGCATACCCACGTTTTACCCCATCGCACGCGACCTGCCGGTCGACAGAACTGCGGCGTGTCCATTCGTGCAGCTGGGGAAGGGGTCAGGGGTCAGGGTTTTTAAGAAAACGTGCATCGTTGTTTCAGCTGTCGCGCCGGGAGGTCGAACCGCCGACCTCTGGGTTGCCGTTTCACTTCGGCAGCAACCCTGGGTAGACTTGGCCTACAACGAGTACCCGGTCTGACGTAGTCAACATTCAGAGCTGGTGAGACAAAGGTGCACGAGCATTGGTGGTTCTGCCCCACCGCCACTCGATGCTCGCGAAACATTTAACCCCGGCAGACTGCCAGGCACCTTCTTTGTCTTTAGTATATTAAATGTCATTACCATACACGTGAATGCGAGTGACAGCTTGTCGAAATACAATACTCTACTGTCTTGTGTACAGGTTCCCCGGGTGTAATGGAACAACCGGTTATTTTTTCCCAGTATAATTAGGGCTGTGTTAGGTGTGAGCTCTAGAGGACTATTTATATTATATTATGATTTACCTACATGCATGCTAGAACATGTAGGTGAAAATGAGAATAATCCCAACTGTAAGGGAATGTAAGCGGAGTTTGGGCAGCGAACGTCGCTTAGAAGGGGAATGTGGGCCGATGGTCAAGAATAGCACAGCTGTCGTCAACCCATAAGGTTTAGCCGTATTCTTGTACAGGGAAATGTAGTTTTCAGGTCCATACGCCATACAGCCATTTTAATACGGCCATTTTTATACGGCCAAAATATATATTTTGTCAATTTGTGTTTTTCCCTTGTGATGAGACTTTGTACGTAAGATGAACGTTGAGATTTATAAGGGGCACGGGGTGACCAATAAGGTCTGAATTGGTCTGTAACAAAGTAGGGGCACTACTGATAAGGGGGTGACAGCTATGGAATAGTAATCGAGTGTTTTGGGGGAGGCCGGAAGGCCGTCATCCAGCAGTGGATTGAATCATGTGTGGCACATTAGGAATAGACCACTCTTTTAATTATTTCTTCGTGCAGCAATGGAGTAAGTGTGGTTTTGTGAAGGTCCTTATGTGCTGCGCAGTACACCAATGCACGTGTGGACACACATCATGCGATACTGAGTCCTGCCTGTGGGGGCTGGCAGGGTTATTGAGTGACCTGACCTGTACACCAGTCAGGAGGTCAATGCCCACTCGGTTGAAGATTGCTGTGTGTGACACGTGCTGTTGCATTTTACAGATTACCACAATAAATGTGTTTACCCTCCATTTGGAGCACCTGCCCACGTCCTTCATTTCGAGTAGGCAACACATGGCTGACGATATTTTGAGAAGAACATCTCCCATGAGGCTGAGCCACAAAAGGTAGTTCAAGGTGACTTAAATAAATGTCAGAGGTAGAGGTAGGTAGGTTTGATGTATATGCCCTTCATGCCTCCCAAGGTATCTGCCGAGTATTGTTTTACGGGAACACAATCTGTAAACACAGCGAGGCGGTATAGATTATTCAAGAGCAGAGTGTCTATTGGTGGTGGTGTGTGTGTGTGTACGCCTTGGCACATTTCTTATGAATGGGACAAATGTGAGGTGCTTTAGTGGCCTCCCTGCAGCCAGCTTGCCGAGGCTCGTTCGTGCGGCCGCATGGTCCGGCGTCTCTGTTTTTCCAGTTTCGTGTTTGCGGCGATAGGCGACTCGGCAGCGCTCCCCTGCCGCTATTTATATACCCCGAGCCCTCGCTCGCTGTGCGACACTGACGACACCTTTCATAGAACACACACACATGGTTTTTTTTCCATTACAGTATTGCCTCTCACCAGCATCATGGGCAGGTGAATTCGTCACCTGTCCTGTCCCGGTTTTCCCAGGACGAAATCTGTCGTTGCTGCTGGGATCGTGAGGCATGACTTTTATTTTAAGTTGCGTACTAAAGGAAATAAAAGACACCACTGAGGACAATGTGTTTACCAGTAGCTCTCCCCTCCTCCAGTATTGTACGATATAATTATTTCCACTGATGGCCTCTTTTTTTTCTGGTCGTATTGATGGTGGAAATGATGGTGGTGGTGGTGGTGCTGTTGATAATAGCAATAATTGTGCTGGTGTTGATTATGGCAGTGATGGTGGTGGTTATTGATGATGGCGGTATGATGATGGTGCTGAGGGTGAAGGTGTTGGAAATATTGGTAATAATGTTGGCATGGACGGTGGTAGTCGTGGTGGTTAAAGTGAGTTTATTTTGATGACGATGATAATTATGCTCGCAAGTGGTGGTGCTTATAGTGTTTGATGGTGGTGGTGGTGATGATGGTGGTGCTGATAATGGTAGGTCGTGTTAGGTCGTGGTAGCACTTGCTAATGGTGATGTTTGTGGTGATTACATAAATTTAAGATTATGTTAGTGATTGTTGCAGTAATTATGGATTGTTGATTATACATTACTAGCTGTACTACCCGGCTTCGCCCGGGACTTGGATTCACCACGCCCGGCCGCCTTTGTCTCCCCAGTGGCGACGTTCACACACCACACCAGTTACTCGTTTGAGGCTGAGTCGACCTAGGGGAGGCCCAGGACCAGTTCAAATAATCGTCACCGGTGGTGGCCGTGAGCGGGAATCGAACTTGGATCGCCGGGTTCGTAGCGCAGCGCGTTAACCACTACACTACAATGCGTTACGCCTCCACGTGCGCGGGTCACGTGACAGATTTGACGTCACAGCTCACTTGCCGTGCAAAAAAGTGTATTTTAATAAATGTATGCATGGTGTACAGTCTGGAAAGTACCCACATGGCAAATTTCAAGTTTGTTGCATGTCGGGAAGTACGCTAAACATTTTGAACAGACACACATATTCACAACTTTGCCTTTTATATCTATGGAGATTATGATTGATGGATGATGTTCGATGATGACGATAAATAATGATGGTAATACAATGTTGACTTAAAGCTTTCGTGACTGCAGGAATTTGTATTCTCTGGGTCTTTCGGTAAAGTCACGTAGATAAAAAAATATATACAATCTACGTGACTTTTACCGAAAAACCCAAAGAATACGGTAATACAATGCTTAGCACTGACTAATGATGACGATGCTGGCAGTGGGAAACACTCGACGTGGAACACAGGACGATTGTCTCGAGAGCGGTGGCACGGTCTTGTCCTCGTGCTGAATAAGCAAGCGTCGCATCACTGCGCCTGCCATCACGGCGCGCCCCGTGGCCTCCGCGCCGAGCGAGCACGTGGCGCTGCAGAGCCGGTAGGAGGCAGAAGTGAGCGCCATGCGTGCCATGTGTCAACCTGCTCTCACGTCGCCGGCATTCACACAGAGCCGTCGTTGGTCAGGCCAAGGTTGCCACCTGTCCAAGTCTGGCCAGGACAATCAGTGATAGTGCATATGTTTGATGGGCATCGGCTGACTGAGAGGAATACGTCTGGGTTTTGGTCTGTGGAAGAAGGATATCTGAGGCCAAGCTCTGGATCTGAGGCCCCAAACAGCCAAAGGAAGTGTTGCTGCATCACACGGAGTTTCACCCTGCTTTTAAACTCCCACTTTGAAAGGAAATCAGTAATGTTATTCCCTCCAATGTCTGATTTTTCTCTCATTTCCACTCACGTGCCAAAATCGCAAAGCATGACCCTTCTGCAAATGAGTGTTGAGGCCTTCATGTGTGAATGAAATGCTGCCTTGTTGTGTGTGTGACAGGTAAAGTGGCCAAGTTGACGGATAAATTGGCCCAGAAATCGCTGTGGTTTGAGGCATTCGTCCGCCAAAGAGCTTTGTTGAGAACAAAAAATTGTAAATATAATTGTTTTCATCTTTTTGTCAATAACCCACTGCTCGAATTAAAGCCTCCCCCCCACGATGTGTTGGCCACGGTGTGAGTTATTCGATCACACTTCACTGCGCTGGGCAATGCCATTGAGTGAACGCGGGCTCACCCAGACCAGGCCGGGTTTGGCGCAGGAGCTTTAGGTGCTGCAGCCCAGCAGCCTTGACATTGAAGAACTGTTCTCCCCCCGGCACCACTTAGTGGTTTAAATGCAATACTGAAGCACTGTGATAAATCCCATCGTGTACTAATGTGGTAATTACAGCCCATTGCATCACAATGTGTCTTACTGCTAAGCAATGTCCAGCATTAAAATCGCTCGTTCGTTTTTAACGGTGGTTTTTGGCTACGAGTGGTATATATCACGTGTTCAAACCGGCACTGAAATGACCGTGCTAAATAACCATGGGGTGTTTGGCATTGGGCACGGCTGGTGGTGATGAAACAGTTAAAGCAAGGAATTGATTATACACAGAGGGGCTCCCCCCCCCCCTCAAAAAAACCAACAACATCGGGGCCCCATCCACCTTTATCCGGCCCTGCTGATATCACCTGTCACTAACGCGAACAATGGCCTGGAATCGAACTCGCGCACTTTCAGATGCGCTTCTGCGGCCGTATTTGTTCGATGGCTTAGCTAAAAGTCGCTGCGAAGACCTAAGTTCGCGTGATGGTTTTTGCTACTTGACGAGATCACCGAGGTATTGTGTGGCAAGCACTTTGCGTGTGCAATGATTGCTGCCTTCAAATGTATTCGTCGCACTTTTTTACAGTGGACTACGCGAATTACACTCTTGTGCCGCAGCACCGCTCATTAACCACCACCGTTCTATGGACTTAAGTTACACGATTGAAACGAGAATGTAAATTGTCTGCAGCGTCTTCTTGATCGCGTCTCAAGAAAAGAGACACGTGGGAAAAATGTAAAGGGGAATTGATACGGACACGTGCCCTGAGTCGTGCCACTACCACGGGATCTTTTTTTTTGCCAGTTCACAAGTACTGTGTGTGGTTAATGCAGTACTTGATTCCTTGAGAAAGGTTTCTATTTGGTGTGTGAACATCTTAACACCTCCACGTTTTATTGCCAGGAAGGGTTACAACCTATTACTGTTTTTCACGCGTGCCACGAGCCGTGCGTTATCGCAAGCGATGACGTGACAGCGATCAACACACATTTGAAAAACTTCTCCGTAACTTCTCATTCCGGTACGTATGCAAAAAAAAATACGTTCTAGAAAATAACATAACTTCATAGCATTGCTAGTTTACGGCAAAACCGCGTTTTAATCGTCGGATGTATGAATACCATTAGATTTTTCTCTATTTGCTCACAGATTTTGATTTTAATTCAGACCCCTCTAAAAAACGAATCTCAACCCCCTCTTGCGAGCGGACGGGATTCTCTCTTGGCCAGCTGCTGCTGGAGTCGAGGGTTCACCTGCCGCCCACCATCAACTCGAGGCCCCTTCGCACCCCGCATGCAATCAGGATGTTGCGAGTCAAGCGTCGACCTGTAGGCACTTCTCGTGAAACCCCGGCGAAGTGTCAAGTGGACGCGTTCATCACAACCAGAGGACGCCTTCCAGTTCACGCACGCGTCAGTCAGCTACGCTCAAAATGCCCACGAGATTCGGGATTCAATCACCAAAGAAAATTTTATTTAAAAGGGTTTATAATCGCCACGTTTTTACCTACTTAAAGCAATTCTAGCTTTAAGATGTGTTTACGTGCATGCTTTATTTATACAATAGTTAATTGAAATTGCTTCAGTGAAATAAACTCGTTTTCTACAATTACAGGCAAAAATCCAGTTTTATTACCCTATTAACTTATCGTAAATATATCTTATTATCAAAGATTTTAAAACACCACGGAAAAAAAGTCCGAAGCTATTATTCATCTAATCACATAGCTACCAACAGTAATTTACATTTTTCCCGTGTCTGTATCTCTCTCTCCATGAACAAGAGTTAAAATTAAATATGAAAATATCGAAAACGTTCAGTCATAGGCAATTAGCTCATGATATCCGTGCAGTTCTCTGGCGATAACCGCGGATGATTTATTTCATTCGCTGTCATTTCACGGTGACTTTTTATTTGCACAAGGACGATGTGATATAGGGGCTTCCACGGCAAAAAATGTCGGTGTCTTTTTACGTGAATAAATGTGAAACGCCTAACTTTGCCATTACAGTCATTGCAATAAATCAATTCCTCATTTGTGAAAATAAATCAGCTTATACCAATGGGAATAACTCTCCTGCGTGTAATAACATCAACATTTCCCACTCTAAAAATGTCAAATATTGGCTTGACTGTCCTTGACTGTCATTCTGTGTCGAGCAAATGTAAATCAAAGTCATTTCATAGGTAGCTCTATGGTGTCTGCTTCCGTGGGCTGTTCTCTAATACAGAGGCTTTGCGCTGCTCTGCAAGAGATCCCATTATGCAGATAACTGGAGAGGTGGGTAATGGGGCCACGGATCAGAGGACTTCCATTGTATGTTACACAGCGACAGAGATCCACTGGTGTCGCCCTACCTACACTGTTGGAGTAAGTCCTGTTAGCGAACACTTATGAAGGCCGGCGCAGCACACGAGACGGTGGGGTGGCATACACCACGCCCGGCTGCCTTTGTCTCCCCACTGCTGATGTGTACGCACCCGCATTCTGTACTAACACATTGAAGAGTCGACCGAGCAGAGGTGCAGCCCAAATTCGGATGCTTACCACCGATGTTAACAATGACCGGGGAATCGAATTGAGGTGGCCAGGTTAGTAGCGGAGTGCGGCACTCACTAGTGAGGGTGAGTTGTTACACATAGTGACAACAACTCATTATTGGCTCGCACCCCCCCCACCCTCACTGGCCCAGTAGTTAGAGAGCCCTCTCCAAGCCATTAGGCCTAATGGCTTCAAGGGCCCTTGCCTGGGTGAGTGGGCTTCCTGGTGGGGCCCGGGTTCCGGGGTGCCGGGCGGTGCCCCTGTAGCCCCCCGCTACTGGGCATTCAACCATTGGCCCAGATGGAGCCCGGGCAAGAGAAGGGGGCACGTGCCCAGTACTAAGTGCCAACTGGGCACTCGCCTATTGGACAACTCCGTCACCCCCCCCTCCCCCCCATCGCGCCACAAACTCAGCCACTCATCCCAACGGCGCCCTAATGAAGGGGCGCGCGATGACCGCTATATATTAAAGCCGGGACATCGTTCAAGCTCCCTCGGATCAACAAAGCACACGTGCGCTGAAACGTGCAACCAACGCGTACATCGCAACACGCAGAACACTCCCCACACGTGTACACACACACACACACACTCGGGCAAAGTGAGATAGCGCTTCGAAGTTTCCCAGGTAGACATGAAGGTCCAGGTTCTGTGCGCGGTGCTCACGCTCGCCGTGGTGGCGACAGCTCAAGAAGCCAAGAAAGTCCAAGTGACGAAGACGCTGAGCAATGGCTGGGGCGACTCCATCAACTGGGTGCAGACGTACGAGGAAGGGCTGAAGACGTCCATGCTCGACAGGAAGCCCCTCATGGTCATCTTCTGGCTGGAGGAGTGTCCCTACTCCACAGGTGAATGCGGCGGCGAGCTAGGCGACAGCTCAGGAGCCCCAAGCAGTTGAAGGGGCCCCCGAATTGACGGGCGGAATTTCGTTTTATTGTTTGAAATATGTCAGCTCATATTGAGGCCTGAATAAACATGGCAAGCTGAATGACGTAGAAAGCGCCACTTGATCTCGTGCGTCTGCCTCCTGTCTGCATCTTCTCACACTGTGGCAGGTGTCTCGACGTGGACACTTCTCGTATCTCTCACTACGTCTGCATCTCGCCTCGATCTCTTCTGACATCTCACTCGGATCGTATTAATAGAACGAAGGGGTTCCAACCAAATGTAATTTTTGCTCGGGGCCACCCGATGGTTTTGCACCGCCACTGTGGCCGTGCACCAGCAATGGGCAGCTGCCACACCTGGCGATCCGGATCAAATTGTAATGTATTTTGAACTTCTTTCGCACCGTACGTAGCCAACCGTGCTAATCGGAGGTGCGGGGAAAAGACAACAGACTAAAACACAAAAAACTGTTTTAAAGAATTTAGTTTTCAATCTAGGTGATTTTAAAGTGTATCATAGCTCCTAGTGGCTTCCTAATATCGGAAGGCAGAGCGTTCCAGACGGCCGCAGAAGCGCATCTGAAAGCGCGCGATGCGGTGGCAATCGTCTTTGTTCGATGGCTGAGCCGAAAGTCGCTGCGAAGATCGACGTTCGCGTGATGGTTTTTGCTCCTTGACGAGACCAGCGAGGTATTGTGGTTCATTTGTGGCAAGCATTTCGTGTGTGCAATGAGTGCTGCCATCAAACGAATTCGTTCGGCAACCGGAAGCCAACGGTAGCTCGGCGAGCCCCGGCCGGGTGCCAGGGAATTGCGTTCACGGCTCCAGCTCGCGAATGGGATGAAACAGCGACACCACCGCTGCCGTCGTTCGAGTAGCTTCTGCAGCGGGGGGCAGGGGGTTTCACGACCAAAGGTGTTTATTCCCTATTAGCCAGAAACAGACACCCACATTGGTATGGGGTCTATGTAATGTAAAAGCGATGTAAATAGCCATTGAAGACTCCAGTAGTTAATTGTACAACGATCTAGTTTTGGACAAATACACCACACTACTTAATGTGTTTCGTGTGTTTAGTTTGTTGTCCTTCCCTCCACACCTCCAATAAGCACGGTTGGCTACGTGCGGTGTGAAAGAGGTTCAACATACATACACACCCACCCTACACACACAGCATACATGCACACGACATACATACATTCCATTCACCACATCCCAGGTTGTCCTTGCAAAAGAGACGCGTGGTGTAAATGCGCTCTCTCCCCTGCTCGTGCGTTAAATAAAATAACATCTATGGATGTGTCGTGGGGCGTCTGTGATTGTAATCTTCCTGCACGGTGACCGTGCTGGCGTGGGGTGCACGGGGAATCTCGCGCGAGCGTCGCTAGAGGCTGCCGTGTGAGTGTCACCAACTCTGAGAGCCACATTCGCTAGAGGCTGCCGTGTGACTGTCACCAACTCTGTGAGTGTCACCAACTCTGTGAGTGTCACCAACTCTGTGACTGTCACCAGCTCTGAGAGCCACATTCGCTAGAGGCTGCCGTGTGAGTGTCACCAACTCTGAAAGCCACATTCGCTAGAGGCTGCCGTGTGTCACCAGCTCTGAGAGCCACATTCGCTAACGATTGCCGTGTTACTGTCACCAGCTCTGAGAGCCACATTCGCTCAGGACAAAGACCTCCAGCAGTTGGCGCAGAACGACTTTGTCATGCTGAACCTGCAGGTACGCTCACAACCACCACCACACTCACCACCACCACGCTCATAACCACCACCAGCACCACACTCACCACCACCACCACTCTCACCACCACCACGCTCACCACCAGCACCACACTCACCACCACACTCGCCACCAGCACCACGCTCACCACCAGCACCACGCTCACAACCACCACCAGCACACTCACCACCACACTCACCACCAGCACCACACTCACCACCAGCACCACACTCACCACCACCAGGCTCACAACCACCACCAGCACCACACTCACCACCATCACACTCACCACCACCACCACGCTCACCACCACCACACTCACCACCACCACTCTCACCACCAGGCTCAGCACGCTCACCATCACGATCACACCACGACGCTCACCTCCACGCTCACCACCACTCCCACCACGCTCACCACACACCACCACCGCACTCACCACCACTACCACCACGCTTACCACACACCACCACCGCACTCACCACCACCACCACTACCACCATGCTCACCACACCACCACCGCACTCACCACCACTCCCACCACGCTCACCACTACCACCACACTTACCACACACCACCACCGCACTCACCACCACCACCACTACCACCATGCTCACCACACCACCACCGCACTCACCACCACTACCACCACGCTTACCACACACCACCACCACCATGCTTACCACACACCACCACCACCACCATGCTTACCACACACCACCACCACCACCATGCTTACCACCACTTGTGGTCCTGGCCCCCTAAGGGAGCGAGCCCAGAGCGAACAATATGTGTACACTCCCCTCCCCCACTTCGTGTGCCGTGTCGCCCTTGACAGGTGCTGGCTGACAGCACTTCCCCCAACAGCCTGCTGAAGGCTATACGGGGGACCTTTGTCGTCGTGTTATGCAGGCAGATTAAGACAGCATGATGATAATTCGCTGTCACTTGGGGTACATGTGTATAACATGTGTATAACATGTGTATAACATGTGTATCTGTGTGCGTGCTCGATCCCAACAGACTGAGACAACAGACAAGAATATGGCTCCAGACGGCTATTACTACCCCAGGATCATGTTCGTTGGTAAGTGCACACGCTGCATGCATATCGCAATCCACGTTGCCGCATTAGCATCATTAGGGAATGCAGTCTGTGAGAATTGTCCTTGGGAATGTCCTGGCTTTTCATTCGCCGCCCACCGTTAAACGCCACACCGCAAAGACACCGCACGACACGGGGCGAGTGCCGTTAGCGAGTAGCAGCAGCACGTGGGGGTCGGGTGGCCAGCACCACGCCCGGCCGCCTTCGTCAGTCCTGAGTCGCGATGTTTACACACCGCACCAGGTACTCATTTGAGGCTGAGTCGACCTAGGGGAGGCCCTGCACCGGTTCAGATATTCGTCACCGGTGTTGGTGGCCGTGAGCGGGAATCGAACTCAGGAGGGCCGGGTTCGCAGCGCTGCAGGCGAACCGCGACACTCCCGCCCTCCACACCACGATAATAATCATCATCATCATCATCAGCGGCTACAGGATGACGTGTCAGTGTGTCCGCCGCAGCACTCACAGATAATTTATATTCTCATCCCCTCGCACGCCTCCTGTTGACGGAGAGCAGCGGCTGTGATTGTTTGTACATCGAGGTGGCTGAGCCAGGATCATTGTGCCAAGGGTAGCGGAGTGGTGGCATCGCGGCTGTGACGATGCCTCCTCCTCCTCCTCCGTGTTTGTGAATCCGGGCCACTGAGTCGTCGTTTTTGGCTTCACGGTTCCCTTTTGCGTGGTGGGGACAGTCGCCGCACACTAAACCGGAGGGTTTCTCATCTTCCACGTGTGCAGAAAGGGATTCATGAACCAGGAGTCATTTTTTTCGTTGTTCACGATTAAACGAATATGGCTATGAAGTGGCTCAGTTGGTTGGGGTTCTTCGAGTGAGTTTGTGGTTCGAGCCCATCAGCAGCCCTGGTTAATACTACGGACGCATTTACCGTAAAAAACAAACTGCAGAGCGTCCGCTTACATGTGGCCGTTAATGATCCCTGACGCTCTGCAAGTGTCACAGACTCCACCCATCTGTGAATCACAGCGCCTCCGTGACAGCCTCGGCGCTGTGAGGATGCCGCGAATACCAAATTCACGAAACGACTGCTGCAGTCGATCCAAGTGAATACTAACACTGCCACCGGTCCTGACACCGACATTGCTGCTAGCGCTTTTGCCAATGAGACGACACTGACACCGCTTTGAGTGTTATGTACGTACGCTTGACTTCTTTCGCACCGTACGTAGCCAGCCGTGCTGATCGGAGGTGCGGGGGAAGGACAACAAACTGAACACAAACATCACTTCTAAATAAATGAGCTTGTAATCTAGATTTCAAAAGTGCATAGCTCCAGTGGCTTCCCAATATCGTAAGGCAGAGCGTTCCAGACGGCCGCAGAAGCGCATCTGAAAGCGCGCGATGATGCAGTGACGACCGCCTTCGTTCGATGCCTTAGCCATTACGAATGAGACTGGCACCAACACCGCTCCTAAGCACTGTCGCTCATCCCGCCGACACTGCTGCTGCTGCTGCTATCGCCACACAGACCCAGGCCGCAAGGTGCGAGCGGACGTCACGGGGCGCTACTCCAACCACCTGTACGCGTACCAGGCCGGGGACGAGGCCGTGCTGCTCGACTCCATGAAGCGCGTGCTGAAGCTCGCCAAGGACGAGCTGTGAGGCGCGGGCCCGCGAGCGAGAGGAGAACACCCGAAACCCGCTCTGCTGCGGCGTCACACGCGGCGTGGCGCACACACACACACGCACACACACACACGCACACACACGCACACACACGCACACACGCACGCACACGCACACACACGCACACACACGCACACACGCACGCACACGCACACACACGCACGCACACACACGCACGCACACACACGCACGCACACACACGCACACACACGCACGCACACACACATACGCATGCACACACACACGCACACACACACACGCACACACAGGCACGCACACACACGCATGCACACACACGCATGCACACACACGCATGCACACACACACGCATGCACACACACGCATGCACACACACGCATGCACACACACACGCATGCACACACACACATGCACACACACACACGCATGCACACACGCACGTACACACGCACGCACACACACACACGCACGCCAGAGACCTACACACACGCAGATACACGCAGACACACGCACATGGACACACAGACCCGCACACGAATGGAGACACACAGACCCGCACACACACACACACGTTTTATACAGCCTGGTTTGGGCAGCTGGCGTTGAGTGATATTCGCGAGCACGAACCCCCCCCTAGGGTAGCGTGTGGGGAGGCGCAACACGCCACGAGCACCACCTACCTCGGCGTGCTCGTCGTCATCTCCATTTACAATGCGAGGAAGGGGAGGGGGGGTAGCAGGGGCAGGCAGGTGTCACGTGACACCTACCAACTCACCCAGGTGCCTCGTGACACCTGCACCAGGTGCCACGTGACATCTGCACCAGGTGCCTCGTGACACCTGCACCACGTGCCACGTGACACCTGCACCAGGTACCACGTGACATCTGCACCAGGTGCCACGTGACATCTGCACCAGGTGCCTCGTGACACCTGCACCACGTGACACCTGGACCAGGTGCCACGTGACACCTGCACCAGATGACCGGTGGCAGATTGTGAATCAACAACGACGGAGTGAATGAGCGAGAGCGTGCGCAGTGCATCTGCCCACTCACCGCCTCTTGCGGATTACACACGCGCACACGAAAACACTCAACACATTCGTCACTAGCACAGTTGCCCTTATAATGGAGGTATATTATAGGTGACGTTTCGGGCGATGGCCCTTCTTCGGAACACGTGTTGAGTTTTTGTTGTTCTGCTATTTGTGCTTTTGCACCGCTGCCAATGCGGAGGGCGTCACCAGATGATCAGCTTCATCACGTGGGTCACGATCAGCGTGGCGTCGTGTCCCGGTGTGGTCGGACCGAGCCGCAGAACGACCGCGGTGGAAGTAACGACTCGCCGGTGTCTAAGACCCAATGGTTCAGTGCCACGTGGTGATGACAGCGCTGGTAGCCACTGTGTCGTCACACAAAGATTGTGAAAGCCCCAATTTGGTTATTGGACAAATTGAGTAGAGAGCACTTGCGTGTGGACAATGCGATGTTGGCCGTGCCGTCCTGAATAGCATTACCTACCCACCGACATATCCCCCGACCTGCCCACCAACCTGCCTGCTCATACAGCCATCCTGTACCTGCTCACCTACCAACTCACCCACCCACCTTTTCCCCACCTGCCCAGCAACATACCCACCTGCCAAGTTTGTATATTATACACGCATACATATATACTTAATGTACATATGAACAGTTATACCAACACATATCTACATACATGCATCCCATACTAACATACAGTACATACAGGAATTATACATGCACAATTATTTTCTATGTCACCTTTTTGGGCCATGAGTTAAATATTAATTAACTACCTTTCGCCAGTATTAGAGTGATGCACACATATTGCTCGAATGTCTGGGTAAAATGTGGCATCAACATAAATTATAATAAAATCGCACATAACGCGTGTACGTTTCGGAGCTGGGTGGGCGATGGCGGGAGAGATGCAGGGAAGGAGTTGGTGAAGGAGTTGGTGAGACGGGAGACAGATTGCGTGGCTCTGGGAGATTTTAAATTAATTCGGACACCTCGCCTCTACAACCTCGTCTCATCCGTCTCGAGCTCACTCAAAGAGCATCCTCATTCAGCCCGCTTCTTCGCGCAATGACAGTCGCTTACATCATCGATGGTAACGAGACCTGACGGTGCTTTGGATGCGCACATGAAGCTGACACTCGTGTTGTCGTTCTGGTGGCGCAGATCTTATTCGCCGCATCTGGGCACGCAATCTGTGTTGTCGTTTGAATAATAAATTGTGCTGAGCTGCCTGATGAATTTGTCTGCTCATGCGTGCACGCATAATGTGTGTGTGTCTGTCTCAGCGTAGCGGGGAGCGGTAGTGTAGTGGTTAGCGCGCTGCGCGACGAACCTGGCGGCCCGGGTTCGATTCCCACTCACGGCTAACACCATTGACGATTATCTAAATCGGTCCGGGGTCTCCCCTAGGTCGACTCAGCCTCAAATGACTACCTGGTGCGGTGTGTAGTAAACATCGCCGCTGGGGAGACCAAGGCGACCGGGCGTGGTTGTTGGCCACCCACCTCCTCGTGTGCTGTGCCGGCCTTCATAGGTGCTCGCACTTGCCCCAACAGTCTGTTAAGGCTATACGGGGGATCGTTGTCTTTGTCTCAGAGTGGGCATGGAATCGAGCAGTTGGAATCTGGCTGTGAGAAAAGCTTGTGGGATCAGAGCCAGCTGCGTGCTTATGTTTAAAGCAGTGTGTTTGCATCGCTTATCCCGGAGAATTTGAATTTTAGTCTGAAAGTTATTTCTCATGAAGGTCACGCTTCGAATCCATATTTGGTGATTGCGGCATGAAAGAGAAACTTAATTTACCCAAATAAACCCGAAGCATATGTTCATTATTTTGCATCTGACCACCATGGTATGAATAAAACCGCACTTAATTCAATGAAGAGTTTCAAAATATATTTTATCATGTATGACCCACCGAGCTATATAGCTCTCTTTTTCAGGAGCGACCTGGCCACAATTGATAGCTAAACGAAGTGGGCTATCACGTGGACATGTAGAGCTGCCAAATACTCTCAACGCGTCTTTCTAAATGTGGAGCGGACAACCCGGATGATCCACGCGGCCACGGAGAGAGAGAGAGACGCAAACTCCAAATAGACAGCAGCAGGCGTCAGGGTCGGGATCGAACCCAGGACCTCCTGCACACCAGGCGAGGTAGCTAACATCTCCTAGCCACCGTGGCGCTTCCACACTGGTGAGATGTCTGGGAGTACCCACACTTTACCCCACCGCACGTCACTTACCGATCGGCTAACTGCGTGGACAGAGGTCTAGAGTGGTGGTGGGATTCATAATCCCTGCCCGATTATTTCAGCTGCCGCAACGGGAGGTCAAATCGAGCCGACGACTTCTCTGGACGACCAGACCAGTTGCTGACCACGGCACAGTGTCAGCAGCCCTGTGACTCAGTGCTATCAATGACACGTTTCAAACCAGGAATGCAATGACATTGACGAACAAGAACCGTGGCTAATGTTTATTCCTCAAATGGCACAGGGCAAGTAAAATGAGGAAAGATTCAAATAAAGATATATGCATCGTATATTTATATATGTGTGTGTGTGTGTGTCGGGTTCACATCTGACTTTGCATTTTGAACTCAGCCTGGTCTGTGCGTTGTATGTAGCGTCAGCACAACACGGGCTGTCCACGTGGGCCCTGCTGGGCTGGAGCGTCCTTCGGTACCACCCGAGGTGACAAACCTATGGGAGCCAATTAAAGTGAAACGATGCTACGAGAGACTCAATTGAGAAGCTTACTGCGTACATCCTGGCAGTGTCAATAATTGCAGTCTCTGGCCAAATCAGAACGCATTGTGAAGCGAAGTGGGGCGTGCACCGCGCGTTGTTGGATGGGTGACCACTGCGCATAGCAGGTGCTATAGGCTGCGCGGCTCCGTGGCAGCCAGTCGAGGGCAGAGTGACGCTAAACGTGTGTTGGTCTGCACTGCCGCGTGTCCACGTCGAATGCCCTCCTCTGGCACCACCCCGCACCGAGCAGCGTGGTGAAGTACGGCTCGATAACCCCACACCTCGCGCACGGTGTAGTGAGAGCCCCATCCAGCAGTGGATTGACACGAGCGCTGTGCACTTACAAAGCAAAGGGCACCGCTGAAGCATTGACGAATCGAGTGCTACCGGACCGGTGGGATATCTGGCGGTGTGTGTGTCCACGTGCGAATCACGGACTCCACGTGCGAACATTCCACGTGCGATGTCATCGGAAAGGAACCCCGCGTCATCAGCTGATGACGCTGCGTGTGTGATTGTCTTACAGCTAACAGAGAAGGAGCGTAAACACGACGGCGATGCCTGCTTCTAGGCAGAGGAATAAAACGAGGTGAACAGAAATCACAACGTGGCTGTCACACGGAAGTAAAATGCATCTTAAGAGAGGCATAGCGAGGGTTCAGTTCGGCACCCTCCAGCTACCAGAGTGCTAGGATGGAGCGCCGTGCGTTGTCGTTGTACATCAGCTGTGCCATGCAGCGATGTGCGCGCTCCACGTCTACAGCGAAGATACACCCGAACGTGACTTTCCAAGAGGGCGTTGGTTGTACAGCTGAGCAGCATTCCCAGTAAGGTACAAATGGAAATGCTGCATTTACACCAGGGTGCATGCGTATGGCTGAACTATCAATCATACAACGCAGTGCAAATTAGATTGTATAATTGTTTGGGGGAGGGGGGTTATATAACGTCTAATTGCAACGGTGTCTCTCGATGCTTTGTGTCTCCCGGCGGATGAGAACACAGAGCACGCGGGGTTAATTTAAATGAAACAGAGGCACCGCTGTGCTCGACTAATTGACCAAAAGGTATGGGCTTTGAGCGATCGGAAGGTTTCCTTGGAAAACGCATTTTTGGGTGGAAGTTATCATTGCAGACGGGACACAAACTGAGGGACACTTTGTCTGCACTGAATGTCAACGCAGAGATAGAGGCTCACTCGAGCCAGGCCAGAGCGTAGACTGGAATAGAGCAATGTCCCTGCTGTAAGCAGCAGCCAGTCAAGTGGTTAGGAGGCCAAACTCAGAGAATAAAAAGAGTGGCTGACGGAGAGAATTCGAGGGGGTGATCAAGGCGAGAAAGAGCGATGCGCATTCAGCAGAGAGAGGTCACACTTCATAGCCCAGTTAGAGCTCACATCACCATAGCAGGAACCTTCCTCTAGCAGTGGATCGAGAATTGCGGGCCACAATGATCACAACAACGACGCTCCTAGTGTGGTGCAGCAGCGTTAGCATGGAATGGTTCTTCAGCAGTACACAAAGTCGGCTCATGGTAGTTGGGTTGCCACCTCTCTGGATTTACCCAGGATCATTATCTTGTGGAGAAAGCCTTCCCGGTTGTGTAACAGTGCCCCGCTCAAGACAACGCAGTAAGTTACCCAGAGTTCTCCCCTCGTCCAGTAATTGTCAACTATTCATCATTCTTCTCGCGATGGGCCTCCGGCTATTTTGTTGTTGAACCTTAGAGGTGGCAACCCCAGCTTTGCGGTCATGGCGGTAGCACCACCGCAGCGAGGGTGGAACATTGTTCCAAGCGCATGCAACTGTTGTACGAGCAACTGCAGGCGGCTGTCACCGCTCTCAGACAAAACCACTCCTGCGTTCTTCCGCATCAATGTTTAATGCCACAGCAAAGCGCTCAGGTAATATAGGTAGCGTACATTCAGTTTTTTTTCTTTAAAATATAACTATCGATTCTATAAATAATTGCTTATGTGTTTTTTTCTTCTTTTATTTATCTCTTTCCGGCAATAGTGATAGTATATATGCATTGATTAAGGAATGCGCAAGCTGCGTTTCGGCGGCGTCAGGACGCGTGTGGCCCAGAGGACGCCCGTGGCCTCCCGTGGCCTCGCGTGGCCTCGCGTGGTCTCGCGTGGCCTCGCGTGGTCTCGCGTGGCCTCGCGTGGCCTCGCGTGGCCTCCCCGTGACCTCCCGTGGCCTCGCGTGGCCTCGCGTGGCCTCGCGTTGTCTCGCGTGGCCTCCCGTGACCTCCCGTGACCTCGCGTGGCCTCGCGTGGCCTCGCGTGGCCTCGGCTTGCCGCGGCACGTTCACGCTGCGATGGACGCTACGTACCACACAAGATCCACCGTAGTTGCACCCCGCAGACTTTGTTTTTGCTAAATATCGTAATATCGCGATTATCAGCGATCCCGTTCTTTTGTGTGTGGTTACATTTTTCGATTTCCTAAACAATTGTGAAATAGAATAAAATTCCGCTCAATAATCAAACCTTTTAAATAGAAATATAACTATCCATTATTTTTTCCATTAAATAAGAGCTTTGCTAAATATTTTTTTTTTAGGAATTGACAGATTGGCGATCGTATAACATCGCTGTCGATTTGTTTTCCTTAGTTCCTCGAATTGTTTAAGTAATTTTGTGTAACTGACATCGAGGTACCTGCTAGATTGTAGGACGAATTCGGGCAGGCTTATACTGAGTAAACTGCCGTGAACGAACCCTACAGTGATCTTGAGTTGTACCTTAACTACAGCAAACTACAAGAGCAGAGCGATAGTAATGGTGAAACACAATCACAAGCTTATGGGAAGCTGATATCGCAATGATGATGATCGCCGCATTGCCAATTTGACGTCGTATCGGACCTCACGGCAACCCCCGCGTTTGGTGTTGGGTGCCGAGCCCTGAACCCCGGGCGCGCTCCTCTCTCGGGCGCCGTTCAGAGTCAGTGGCGCACCTAGGGGGGTCACTTTCACCGCAGCGTTACGGGGCGGAGGTCCAGATAATAGATCTGCCCTCCCCCCCCAACTCCCATCACTTCCCCATTGACAACCAGTCGTGAAAACGGCTCTCAAGGAGGCAGAACAGAAACTAGCACTATTTTTTATTATTATTTTACCAGGTAAGACCCACTGAGATGTACGGCTCTCTTTTTCAGAAGCGACCCGGCTATCACAAATGATAGCTCAACGAAGCGGCTTGCCATTACGTGGGAATTTATAGCAGGAGCCAAATACTCTGAACGCGCCATGTTGATTCTAAATGTGGAGGGGGGAAACCGGAGGGAAATCCACGCGACCACGAGGAGAGAGACAAGCAAACTCCAAATATACGGGCGTCAGGGTTGGGATAGAACCCACGACCACCTGTACACCTGGCGAGGGAGTTAACATCTCATAGCGACCGTGGCGGATGGCGGATGGGCGGGCGGCGGTGCCCAGAAGGGCCCTGGACAATATTCGGCGAGAGATGAATCCCTGGGGTCACCGGTGCTCGTGCAGAGGCCAACATCTCCCTGCCGAGCGAGCTTCGTGCCAGCGGCGCCGTCATCCGCGCCGCTTGAGCTGCAGGAGCTTGTGCGCGATCTTTTCCAGCTCCATCTGCATGCCCTCCAGCTCGTCCCTCTGGGCACAGAGAGGCGACGCATTTTTGGCTTGAACGGCCACAATAACGACCGCAAAGCCATTGCTTTGCCTCCGCATTCAACTTCACCAGTGTTGAGGGCTCGGTCTGCCAGACACAGATCTGTGTCGTCTCATTCACCACACTGTGATTAACCACCACCACCACACTGTGATTAACCACCACCACCACCACACTGTGATTAACCACCACCACACTGTGATTAACCACTACCACACTGTGATTAACCACCACCACCACCACCACCACACTGTGATTAACCACCACCACCACCACACTGTGATTAACCACCACCACCACACTGTGATTAACCACCACCACGAGCTCTTGCAACAATAACCTTGCTCAATTAAAACAAAATGTAGTCACCATTAACTCCTGCACCTCCAATGGAGCTGTTTAATGCGGGAAGTCTAGTCCTTTGGGCCTTGTCGCCTGTGCTCAGAAACTGAGATAAAGAAAACATACTCAATGGAAAAAACAAAGATGCCTTACAGCCTTACACAGGCTAATGGTGCTGTTCGCGTGCACCTCTGAAGGGCGGAATGACGCAAGGCGGGGGGGGGGTGCTGTGACCAGATCTATGCGCAGCTCCCTCTGTCTCCGCAGTTGAGATGTTTGTATACAACACCAGCTACTCATTATAAGTCTGAGTTGACCTAGGTGAGGCACAAGACCGCTTCAGATAATTGTCACTGTAATGAACTCCAGTCACCGGGTTCGTAGCGCAGTGCGCTGACCGCCACGCGACTACCTCACCCCTGACCTGAGATTGATTCCTGGCCACGGCTAATATCAGTGCTGCGTTACATCTAAACTCATCCGATGTGGCGAGATGTTATCACCCTCGCAGGCGCGGAGGAGGACACGGGTTCGATCCCAGATCCTGAAGATGCCTATTGTATATTTTGACTTCGTGTGTTCTCTCTATCCCCGTGGTTACGTGTATTTTTCTCCAGGTCCTCCGGGTTTTCCCACCACGTGCGTTTATATGATTTGGCTGCTACTATAAATTCCCATGTGAGGTTTATGATGATGATGATGATATAAGCCATTTCGATGAGCTATCACGTGTGGCCAGGTCACCCATGAAAAATAGCTACGAGCTCAGTGGGCTTTACCTGATAAATAAAAAAAAGGGTTGTGAGTATAGTATCGTTTTAATGGGTTCATCATTTCTGGATTAATCCGAAAAAATAGGCCTAGACACGACATTTCGGATGGTCAATAATATTCTAGATTTGAAGCTTTTGTGACTGCAAGGATCCATACTCTTTGGTTTTATTCGGTAAAGTCACATAGGTAAAAATAAAATAACAAAAATCACGACGTTTCGACCACAACACAAGTGGCCTTCATCAGGTGAAGGGACCGGACTGTCCAGAGGACAGCGTTGGAGTGAAGACAGTCAAGCCCAGGTCACGTCCTTTAAGCTGTGTGGGAGGAAGCAAAACGCTTTGACAAATGAATTAGCATAAAATTAGCATGATGTATGCATGCCGCGACAACAAGCTTAAAGGACGCGACCTGGGCTTGGCTGTCTTCACTCCAACGCTATCCTCTGGACAGTCCGGTCCCTTCACCTGATGAAGACCACTTGTGTTGTGGCCGAAACGTCGTGATTTTTGTTATTTTATTTTTACCTACGTGACTTTACCGAATAGAACCAAAGAGTATGGTCAATAATAGTTTTGTGTCACATTGATCTGAGAGTATTGCATCACCACAAATCACAAATAGTAATTTCCCCACCAAACTTGGAATAATGTGGCATCGGGTGACGTCACTTTAGTTTCCACGAAAATCTCCTCAAAATATGAAATTGTCCTTAAAAATACGCAATCGGAGGCTTTTTTCACACGAAACTCCTCTATATAGGAAGAGTCGTGGGCAAGCCTCACATTTGAAATGTGGCTACAACACCGACCCTTGCCAATGCCCGCTGAGTACATTTAATTTCCAATTTGCACCAGTACACTCTATTACATCTCCAAAGACATGTACGAATTCCTATATCAATCCAATCAACTTAAACCCAAAGATGGTATTTTGGCAAGATAACATGAAATTACGTGCCAGGCTTAATTTAATTTCCCCACCTCGATACGAACTCAGATGACGCAAATATGCACAAAGCGACACGTGCAAGCGTCAATAAAGTTTACTGACCTCTGCAATTCCTTCACTGCTGACATCGTCCTCATGCCGAGAGCTTCTTCCACTCATCTTCTCTCCATCGGAGCCTTGCTTCGCCTCACCCTCCTCCTCGTCATCATCTTCGTCAGCATCATCATCATCATCGTCGTCGCCGTCGTTGTCTGCATGGTTGCCATCGCGATGCTGTTCCTTGGGGGATCGATGGGAAGCCTCAGAGGAGACGTGGAGCCCTGAGCGGAATCTGGCCACGGCCCTCGCGATCATCTTCCCGGCGCGCTGCCTCCGCTCCGCCGAGTCGAACTGCATGGTTCTCTCGTCGCTCAGGCTCTCGGCCATTCGCTTGTCCAGCGCCTGGCCTCCGGCATCATCGTCGTCATCGTCGTCGTCATCGCCGCCTTCAGCTTCTCTATCGAGGTCGAGCTTGCGACGGATGTCCTCCGCCGCGTCATCGTCCTCGTCGTGCGGCTTCATCTTCATCAGCTGGCGCTCCACGTCCTCCGTGGCCTGCCGCACGGCCTCGCTCGCCTCCCGGTGCCGGGGCCGGAGCTGCCCAGCGGACGTCGCCGCCCTCTGTGGCTCGACGCCTTCAGACGCGTTGGCTTCTCTGTCTTCATCATCATCATCGTTATCATCATCATCGTTATCATCGTCGTCGTCATTGTCTGCTTTGTCGTGGTTGTGTTCTTCGTCGCCGTGGCTCGAGTCCACGTGCCCTGTGCTGTGTTTGCTGGACTTGCCGTCCATGGCGCTCTCCTCCATGTCCATGCCAGCCTCGTGCGAGGCCGAGCCCGTGCTGCTCGGTGCCGCGTGGACGGTGCCGCGCTTGGGTGCCGACTCCTGCTTTGTGTCGTCATCTTCATCGTCATCAGCATCAGGAGCATCGTCAACATCATCGTCGTCGTCGTCGTCATCATCGTTGTCGTCATCATCGTCGTCATGTTTACCCTCGCCATGAGCTGTAGCTTCATCGCCTTGCTTCCCGTTCATTGATGATTCATCTTCCTCGCCGCTCACCTTGTCTGTCTTCGTGCCGCTATCCTCGTCGTCGTCAACCTTGCTGCGATGGTGTCCTCCTGAAACCGACTTCAGGCTCTGCTCCATGGCCGTTTTCTCCTCGTGTCCGTGCTCGCTGCGTTTGGTTTGGTCATCTTCTTGCGGCTTGGAATCTTCCTCTGAAGAGGCCTTCCTCTTCTCCTCCTCCTCTTTACCATCCTGCCGAGTGCCCTCGTGATGCAGCAAGCCAGCTATCCTCTTATCTGCAATGAAGTCATCACCAGGTTACACTTCATCACTGAGCAGATCCAGGAGAGGTCAATGCCAAGAGCATAATGCCATCTATGGGGCACAGCATGTCAAGTCAACTGCTTGGCCCATCCAATGCCCTTAGCTCTATTTAATATTGTTACGTTCCCATAATTCTCACATTCAATGTCCAATGTCCAGTATCTACGTAGCATCTCAATCCTTGCATCTATTCCCGTCTGTTACACTGTCACGATGAAATGGCCCCTGACCTCTGTCTAATTCACGGTGTCCACATCCCATGTCATCGGCCCTGACGTTCTGTGACCTGTAAAGTTTCACAATTCCCATGCCTTGCTTGCTATCCAATGATCTGTGCAATGATAACAATGTCCTGCATTTGCCTACGAAAGCCTTGCTGAATCTTAAAACCCTTTTGTTCAAGGGGGTCCTGCATTGGCACGTTTTGCCCAATTCTATCAACGAGTGTTTGGCACATGGGAGGAACCCAGAGCAAATCGGATAACACCGATGTTTATCGATAACTCAACACAGATGGATTTAAGAATCAATTGCCGTACTCCCATCTCTTGGCCATTTCACAACACAACCCTACAGCACGTGGCGTTTCCAGGCAGTCCACCATCATAGCACTTAGCAGGCACAAATTGCTTAGGTTCCAAGATATGATGAGAGATTGAGTGCATGCGTATGGTGATTCTATACACAATACTGCAGCAACATCCATTGTGCTACGTATTCCGATGCTCCCACGAATATTTCCCATGCATTTAACCCACATTGAGCAGCGTGGTGAATTCTGGTCAAATAACGTAAACACAATATTTACGGCATGCGAAGACCCTGAACAGGCAGCGGAGTCACAAAGGCCCTTACATGTAAACGTCTCACTCATCATTGCCCACGTTTCGTGATTAGTGACCCTTTCCCAGTGCCACATGCCCCATTGTCAACTTCACATAACCCCTTTTAGGTCTCCCGTGCCCCACGCCCCCGTGCTCCATGCCTTCTCTCAGCAGCCGAAGACAGCGGTCGCTGGGAGCTCGAGGTGTGGCTTCTGAGAGAGCACCTGACAGCGCCTCAACCATGCAGGTCATCACCTGGACACAAAGAGAAAGACAAAGATTCCCTCTATATAGCCCTGTAGACTGTTGAGGCAAGTTCTGTGAGCGAACACCTATTAAGGCCGATACTGCACACTAGGGGAATGGTGTGGCCAGATCCAAGCCGGTTCGCAGTTGTCTCCCCAGTCCTGATGTTTACACACTGCACCAGGTACTAATTTAAGGTTGAGTTCATCTAGAGAATGCTCAGGACTGGTTCTGATAATCGCCGCTGAAGTTATCCACGGTGGAGAATTGAACTCAGGTGGCCGGGTTCTTAGCGCGAGTGCGCTAGCAGCCTGGACATGCGCATGCAGAGCGAACAACAATGATGAAACCACGAGGGAGTCGGGGTGAATGTGGCATCGTGACTCATACGCTCTGGATGGCTCAGGTGGCGAACAAGAAGCGAGTGAACTGCCCTTGCACCACGAAGAGCCTGGGTTGGAATACAGGTCTCAACCACCTCTGATTAGAATGAGCACTTAAGGGTGCTGAGTTTATAGCTACAGTCCAGTCACCCAATAACAACATTAAAACAACCAAGAATTATGTTAAATGTGACTGATTTAAATTATTTTTTTTGTTAATGATAAAGCATCTAAATATAGCACTCTTTTTAAACTCTGACAATTTTAAAATAAAAATAGCACAACGTCAATGTCATTTGGAAAATATCAGTGGGGTTTACATTGTTGTGCGAAGGAAAAAGGAGACCAAGTTCATACTGTGGTTTTATATTCCAGTGTCTCAGTAAGTCGTGGGGGCCATACCTTGTCGCTGATGGTGTCGATGTTGCTTGGTGCAGGGAAGGCGAACGCTGGTTGGGAACAATGCGCAGCCTTGCGTTATGAATAAGCAGCGACACCGCAGGCAACACTGAGGCATTGCTACCACGACATTGAAAAGGTCACACTTTCATCCTCACGATGATAATTATTAATAGTCCCTTGTCAATCCACGCCGTGCTGGTCACGTGGACGGCATTTGACCGATACTAACACGCTAGTCAACGCAGATTGTATGTATGTTGAACGTCTTTCGCACCGTACACAGCCAACCGTGATAATCGGAGATGGAGGGGGGGGGGGTGAAGGGAAGGTGGGAGAGGGTTTGGAGAGGCGGGAGGGCTGGAGGGGCAGGTTTCGGGGTGCAGAATGGTTCGGGAATGGTTCAGACAACACTGGGCCGATCCGATAGTGTGGGAGCTGTGACCAGGAATGGAACTCATGCGGCCGAGTTCATAGTGCAGAGTGTGCTACCCCCGTGTCCCCCACCCCCGTGTCCACCACCCCCGTGTCCCCCACCCCCGTGTCCACCCCCCCGTGTCCCCCACCCCCGTGTCCCCCACCCCCGTGTCCCCCACCCCCGTGTCCCCCACCTCCGTGTCCCCCACCCCCGTGTCCCCCACCCCCGTGTCCCCCACCCCCGTGTCCCCCACCCCCGTGTCCACCACCTCCGTAACGCCGCGGGAAACAACCTCTGCTCTGCACGCGCACGGCTAGTTAGGGATTCTGGAGGTTCACATAACGCCGTGCTTTCTAAATCTGTTAAAGTCTGATATTTCACAACACGTGATCAAACGTAAACAAACTGAATGGCAGCCGGAAGACGTGGAGCCGGAATGACAAACGCGATGGAGCTCTCGCCGAGGCGAGGAGCCGGCGGTCGAGGTGCACACGTCACAAGGTCGCCGCGTTGGACCGAGCTGCGAGTTATCAAACGAGGAGCGGGCTCCAGGTGCTAGCGGCAATCGCTCTGCAACGAGGACGAAGGCACACAAGGGGCTTCAGCACGCTCACTCTTGTCAACATCGCATGTAGAATGCGTGTGTGCGCGTGTGTGTGCGTGTGTGTGCGTGTGAGTGTGTGTGTGAGTGGGGAGCGGTAGTGTAGCGGTTAGCGCACTGCACTATGAACCTGGCGACCCGGGTTCGATTCCCGCTCACGGCCAACACCAGTGACGATTATCTGAACCGGTCCTGGGCCTTCCCTAGGTCGACTCAGCCTCAAATGAGTACCTGGTGCGGTGTGTAAACATCACCACTGGGGAGACAAAGACGGTCGAGCGTGGTGCTGGCACTTGCCCCAACTGGTAAGGCTATACGGGGGATTTTTGTATATCTTTGTGTGTGTGTGCGTGTGCGTGCGTGTGCGTGCGTGTGTGTGCGTGCGTGTGCGTGTGCGTGCGTGTGCGTGCGTGTGTGTGCGTGCGTGTGCGTGTGCGTGCGTGTGCGTGTGCGTGCGTGTGCGTGCGTGTGCGTGCGTGTGTGTGCGTGCGTGTGCGTGTGTGTGCGGTCTGGTGGCGCTGAGCGTCACTTGTCCCAACAGTCTGCTAAGGCTATACGGGGATCTTTGTTTGGTGGCATAGCGGTTAGCGCACGGCGCTACAAACCCGGCGAACCAAGTTTGATTCCCGATCTCGGCCAACACTGGTAGAGCGTGCCAGCAGAACTCTACTGGGTCTCTACGCGGTCGACTCAGTCTTAAGCGAGTACCCTGGTGTGATCCGTAGACATCGGTACTGGAACGACAATGCAGACTATATACAGCCGACACGGGCAATCGTTGTCTACTGTACGCGTGCGGTCTCATTGGTGATCACGGACGGGCAGGCGCTGTCCGTGGTTCTGAAACCTGCGAGCGTTTAACATTGGAGGCACGCGCTTGGGTGCGGATTAAATTACAGCGGCACTGTTAGATAAACCTTTCTTGAACCTCTTTGCTTATGCTAAATATAACGCCAGCTATCAGATAGACAAGAGATAAAGCATTCGCATTTACGGAATATAACATAATAGCACGTACATTTGCACGTATGTAGTATGAGAAGCCCATACATAAACAAATTAACCCAAGTTTAAGCCGCACAAGCTCCCAGACCGAGTGAGTGCTGTTAGCGAGCACCAATTAAGCTCAGAACGGCACAAGAGTTGGGTGGCGATCTAGCGAGTTAAGCGCGAGGCGTGTGTGACACGAACGCTAGTGCTACCAGCCTGGTTCTATCGGGGACTGGTAACAAGGAGCATTTACTCAGCAACCGGCACACCACATCGAGTGTACCTATATGGCTGTGGCTATTGGTCAATATTGGTACATATTCAACGAGAAATCAAGCTTTGGTTACGGATGGTTACATAACACATGCGGATTCTTGAAATGATTTAATACTCGCCCATTGCATGTATGCATGTGCTGGTTGACCAAAAAAATTCATCTGCCTTGCCGACGATGCTCCAATTTCACCCCGGCCCCACCGTCGGTAATCAGAGCGCTCGAGTCTTACCCGGCGAGACACAGGCGAGCAGAGCCAGCCAGAGCCACAAACGCAGTCGGTCGTGACACGGCCGTCTGCTCCCGAAGCGAGCCATGCTTCCTCCGACTCCTCCGTCCCCAGGCACGCCGGGGTGCATCACGGACGAGCGTCAGAGTAGCAACAACGCGCGCGTGCGTTGGTGGACGACACGACGAGCCGACCCACGGCTGCTGCCGCTGTGTAGTGAGTGTGTGTCCGCGAATCTACGACTTGCGCTTGGGTGGAGGTTACATGGAGACGGGGTGAAGGCGGTGGGATGACGGCGATGCGGTGATGGCGTGCTTGGTGATGGTGGTGGCGATGGTGGCGATGAGTGGAGCGCAGCAAACCTCCGCGATCCGGCTTCGCGCTTATATGAGCGAGCACGCGGTCACGTGGCCGCACAGGAGGCGCGTGGCGGGCTGCGAGGAGGTGCTGGGTATGGGAGAGACGTGGAGGGTGGTGGTGAGGGCTGGGAGGAGGAGGAGGAGAGGGGGGGGCGCCAATGACAGGACAGCAGCAGGGAATCTACGAGCTGCAACGCGGCCCCCGACTTCGTTTCATACGACCAGAGGTCACACGAGGCCTACCACTTACATACGGCTCCTAAATGACATCAATCTAAAACTAAACCATTTTTTATTTTACCAGATGAGGCCCACTGAGCTATACAGACCTTGTTCATAAGTGACCTGGCCACAATGATCGCTCAACGAAGTGACTTATCATCTAGAAATGCATTACGACCAAATACTCTTAAACGCATGTTTCTAAATGTGGACGTAAAAACCGGAGGACCCGGAGAAAAATCCACGCAACCAAGGGCAGAGCATGCAAACTTCAAATATACAGCAGCAGGCGCCAGGGTCGGGATCGAACCCACAACCTCCTGTATACCAAGTGAGGTAGTTAACATATCCTAGCCACCGTCGCTACAATTCGTCACTGCAAGCAACCTATCCGCACTACTCGGATACTAGAGGGACAAATTCTTCGAGCTGGCTACACTTTCGAAGTTTGGCACGCTCAAGTTACTAGTGTCGCTGCGAAGGCCCCTTGCAGTGACAGGAGGTGGCTCAGCTGCGTGCATCAATGTGTGGCCCGCAAGAGCGTGCTTTTGAATCGGCCCTCCATAATAAAAGGGTGCCCACCCCGGTGACAAGGACATGGTTGTGGGAACACGAGGAAGAGCAAGGTGGGGGAAAGCTGCACCCTCCAAATTTTAAACAGGAGCTAAGCATAATTTTTTTTATTTAAAGCTTTCGTGACTGCAGTAATTCATATTCTTAGCTCTTTCGGTAAAGTCACGTTGAAGGGAAACAATAAAATAATAAAATATATATAACAATAAAAATTCTCACGACGTTACGACCATAACACAAACGGTCGTCATCAGGTGTTTCCCTTCAACGTGACTTTACCGAAAGAGCTAAGAATAGGAGCTAAGCATGTTCTTCCAACTCGATAGTAAGGTTTGTCACGTGACTAACCTTACTGGCTGTGTCGGGTGGTGGAGGGTTAGGACAACATTTATACTCACGTGATCTAACCCACAAACCTTCATGAATAATATTGATCGCGAAAGCCTACTACGTGTTAAACTCAACGTGTTTTAGTGACCCCCTCCCCGCCCTGCCTGGGCTACTAGACATGAATGTGCCGCATGTTGAACTTCTTTCGAACCGTGCTCATCGGTTGGCTACGTGGCGCCCCCCCCCCCCCCCCATGAATAACAGCTCCCAAATGATACTGCACATTGGATTAGAGGCAATAAATGAATAAATATGCACGGTGTCTATGCATGCATCAATTTATTCATTTCCAAACATATGTGTAGCCAACAAGACATCGACACTGCACATGTTTAGCCCTGCATGTATATTACAGCGCACATACGTTTTGTGTAGCTTAGGCTAATCGAATCCATTTTATTACAAAGCAGTGGAAAATACATTACATCAATTCATCACGAGCAAAAGGACACTTCCTGCAAATTCACATAATCGTAACAGTAAAATTCATATAATCGTAAAATTGTATCATTATCGGCAACGGCTGAGATATGCAGAGCTTGCTTCACTTGGAACACGTTATCTAAAATCGTCGCATTTATGCAATAAAAGAGCTTGGAGCGGTATTATCTGCTGCCGGCACAAAACCGAACAACGCTGGAGAGTGTGTGGGCGGTGCACGACAGCATTTCAATCACGCTCCACTTGTTCACCCGATGAAGCAATTAGACATCCATCAGGGTCACCCGGCCTCTACCACCAGCGCCCGGCCCTCACGGCAAATCAAGGTGCGTGTTGTGTATCGGTCACGAAATGAGGCCGTGACCCGCCTGGCCCCTGGCATTATCGGCTTCCCGTGGTCGGCGACCAGGGTTAGCATCAAGCTCGGAGCAGCCGAAGAATCCCAGCTCAGGTCGCGTCCGTCGAGGTGGGGGCCACAATGTGGAGATATGCACAAAGATTTAAAATCACACTCGTGTTGAAACATAACTACACGGCACCTAAAGCAACCTTCATGCATCTCCACACTTTATGGAAATGCATTTTCATCGTCATCATTATCAATCTTGTACAAATGTAATGTGTAAATGAGTTCATTAACTTTTTAAAAATACATTAAAACTATTAAAACACACGATCATGATTAAAAATGGTCCGTTTCACCACAGTATTCTTTGTTCAAAGGATTCTACCATTTTACTCGGCATTACAGACTCTGTAATGTGTACTGGGTAATAGTGGTGCAGTGTTTGTCAAACCTGCGACCTGATTTCCGGGCAAACAACTCCCCATGACCTACATGGGCGAGTTCATCCAGCAGCTACTATACAAAAGCTGCTTGTAAATATAAAAATACAATAACGTTATTTCATTAATGCTGTATATTTAGTACGTTTCCATTGTGTTATCTGGGTCTCTGATAAATTTCACTGCTCGTCTCAATGGTTCTCACCTGCTTGTAAAGAAACACTACCTACACCTGTGTACCTATCTCCCACTTCTCTTCAGCCCTGCTAGATAAAAGACATAAATACTAACAGGACGAACCCATAGGCTGACTCAGCTGCAGCCAACCTCACTCAATTGTGATAATCCAAAGGCGCCACATCATCTTCGCTCGCAGCCACCCCCTTTGTGTGCATTTCCTTTTCCACCCTGACTGCTTAGTCTCATCGATGGGGAACTTGACAGTTACAAGCAGGCCACGGTGGCGAGATGTTAACTACCTCGCCAGGTATACAGGATGTCGTGGGTTCTATCCCAACCCTGACGCCCGTATATTTGGAGTTTGCTTGTCTCTCTCCTCGTGGTCGCGTGGATTTTCCTCCAGGTCCTCTGTTTTTTTTAATCCCCTCCACATTTAGAAACATGCTTTTAGAGTATTTGGCTGCTATACATTTCCACGCGATAAGCCACTTCGTTGAGCTATCATTTGTGGCCAGGTCGCGTCTGAAAAAGAAGCCATATAGCTCAGTGGGCCTCACTTGGTGAAATAGAAATAGTTCACTTTTGACATTTTGTGCTCACCCGGTCCCTAATCCCGTGTGCCATGGGACGCGTCGCTCTACTCCCCATCCCCGCTCCTCCGCGAGGCCAAGACCCCCAGCACCCAGTCTACGACGGGGCCTGCCAAGCCGGGCACGGCGCGATCGCGCGACCCCGGTGTCGTGAAGGCGCCACAGCCGTGCGCTCGCAGGACGAGGCTCGCCATGGCGACGGAGCGCAGGGCGTACGGACGTTCTCCTGTCGAGGCGAGGGCGACCGTAGCTCCCAGCAGCGCCGAACGCACCCGCGCGGCCTCCACCGGTGCCGTTTCGGCCCAGGGGCAGGCGTGGACGGGGTACGGCCCTTCCTCCATGGCAGGCCACGGCAGCTGCTCCCCCAGCTGCTGCCCGGTCCGACGCTGCTGCGGACGCTGGGGTGCCTGCGGACTGCCTTGCTGGCGTCGACGCTCTCGCACCTCTTCCCTGCCGTTCTCAGCCATGGACCGGTAGAAGCGTTCGACCTTCGCTCTCAAGGTGGCTTCGGCCTGGGCATCGCCGTCGGCTCTGCCGGCAGTGGCTCTGCCATCGCCGTCGAAGCCAAGGGCTCCGCCGTTGTCGCTCGGGGTGGGTGGACTCGCTACGACGAGGCTGTCTTTCCACGAGCACGCGGCACCGGGCTGAGATCGCTCGGATTCATCTGCATCGCGGACACATTGCACAAAAAACGTTAAAGGCGCAGCCCTACAAGTGCTCGCTCACGCCACTGCTGGCGGAAGGGTCTCCACTCGAGGCAGCTCTAGAGAACGTCTCCAGAATATATTTTGGCTTCCTCTTCTATGCTGACCCCACCACGAAGGACCAAAGAAGCAATAACTTCGGTGTACCCATTTGTACTGCTGGGCGCACAGAGGCAATGGAGTTTAATAAAAACGTGCATCATCGTTTCATCTCCAGTGCCGGGGGATCGAATCGAACCGGCCTCCTCTAGATTTGCAAGTCCCGTGCACTCACCACGATAGGACTGTGGCTGTATCCTGCCACAAATACAGCTGTTGTCATGGAGGGGTTGTCAATAGGTTCATTAACGCTGTTGTCACGAACAACAATTAGCAGCTTCATAATTATCACAATCACACAAGTGTCATCAGTATTACCGCCTACAAAATAACACAACCATAATAATCATCAATCAAATATGTCTATATTTACAAAATATTATAAATGTTCATAACTACGGGGGGGGGAGGGGGGGTTCCACCAATACATCTAAGTCACTGAAAATTAAAACCTCGATAATTTAAGCAATGTTCACAACAACACAAAGGTATGTTTTTGGCACGGAAGTTCATAGCTTATTTGTAAACAGGTAATTCACTCACTAAATATAAATACAGCTGAGTTTTTGCACAAAATCTAGACAGCATATTTTTGTAAAACCAACAATGCTAGCTGTCACGTCTCAGTTATCTCCTCTTGAACATGTGGTTCTTTTTTCCAGTCTTCTCGTTTCTTGCCACACAAAACAATAATTCCCAAATAGGCGAAACATCCAAATAACTCAACTGGGATATCACATCGCAACATCAACCCCTGCTGCAAAACCACTGCAGACTACGTACGACATTGCCTATTCCTGGTATGTAACCTTAAGCTATGACACTCGTCCAAAAACCAAATGTACTCACAATGTGATTTGGACCGAACGCAGATCTCTCTTGAAGATGAAATTCAATAAAACCTTCTAGATAATAAAAGATCATCGCTCTCTAGATGGCACAAATAAGAACACGTCACGCTACCTGGTAAATCCTTTAATCAAAAAATACAAAGCGGGTGTAAGGTCAATCCCAAAAAAAACACAGAGCGTGCTTAACGAGCCACAAAGAGGCGAGCGTAAACACTTCGCCGCCAGCCAGAGTCAATGACGGGACATTTACTCGCGTGCCCCGCAGGATGAAGGGGCCGCCTGAGGAGCTGGCAACGGACAGGTGGGTCACGGCCGTCTCGAGCCGGGGTGGGGGGGGGATGTGGAAAGCTCTAAAGGATTTATTCAGCCGATCGTCCGCAAACACGGCCGGCAGTCCGCCTATGAATGGTGGAGCTCAGTGCTCTTTCCACTGCTCCGCCGTTTCAAGTCGTTGCACGAACTCGTTCCTTTCCGCATGTTCGTTTCATTGGGAAATGGGCCCTTGAGGCGGATTCCCATGAAACAGAGGCCAACACAGCGTTTCTCCGGTTCGATGGCAACGATGCTGTTAAGCTGCATCCTGTACGAAGCACGTGGGAGGCAAAGCGAGGAAATGCGGCGACGCTTTGAGTTCGTGAGTTCGTATATCCAGGAGCCAAGTGTATTATTGTGCCGTAGGTTTGCGAAAGGTGGCGGCGGCGGCTTGGAGAGGCGTTATTCAAGCAGTGGATAAACCATGGCTCACAATGATGATGATAGTAATAATACAACACATGCGAATACTTCACTCTGTATCCATTTGATGTTGGGACAGCTTACCAAGATAACAACTGAGATCTTGAAAGTAAATCAATAGTAAAGTAAACCAATTGTGTAATGCAGTGGTAGCCGTCTGACAACGCTGTTGGTGTATCCTAGTCTTTCTATCGGCTTTCCTTTGTTGGCGGTAATGAATTACTCTTGCCGGCTCCCGTCAGTCCATTAGGTTATTATGGTGGGTTCTAAAATATGGTATGGTGTGATGAGATTGCGTTCAGATGATGAAAACAAACATCGTTTTTCTATCAACAATAGCGTTATGATGATGATTAGAGAGCCTGAAGATAGTCAGACATGTCAAGCTGACCGCGTATTGTTTTTCTGTTGAGCGGTGCCTGGTGAATGTGCGCAGGGAATTGGAACGCGACAGCGCCTCGCAGCACAACGTCTGCCAAACAGAGGGCAATCTGATGATCATGGTTATTATGCCAACACTGCACCATAATGTCGATTAACATATACACTTGTGCTGCTGTACAAAGAGTATATGTTAACCAGCATCAGCCAATGTGAATCATTAATTTAAGTTAGTCGTGCGAGTTAACCTATTAATATATAAAATTAATGAAATGCACATTCACATTACATAAAATAATGAAAAGCAATGGCGAGTCACCACTTACGATTAAATTTACACCTGAAGTAATATCACTCGGAAAGATTTCACAAAACACGACAACAGTAAGATTATAATTAGATTGACGAGTGAATGGTACACATTAATTTATGCATACGTGACAAACACAAAGGCACAGACCCCCTGTATAGCCCTAAGAGGCTGTTGGGGCAAGTGCTGTTAGCCAGAATGGCACACAAGGGGATAGTGTGGCCAGCACCATGGTCGCATGCCTTGATCTCCCCAGTGGCGATGTGTACACACCGTGATCTCCCCAGTGATGATGTGTACACACCGTGATCTCCCCAGTGGCGATGTGTACACACCGTGATCTCCCCAGTGACGATGTGTACACACCGTGATCTCCCCAGTGGTGATGTGTACACACCGTGATCTCCCCAGTGACGATGTGTACACACCGTGATCTCCCCAGTGACGATGTGTACACACCGTGATCTCCCCAGTGATGATGTGTACACACCGTGATCTCCCCAGTGACGATGTGTACACACCGTGATCTCCCCAGTGGTGATGTGTACACACCGTGATCTCCCCAGTGACGATGTGTACACACCGTGATCTCCCCAGTGACGATGTGTACACACCGTGATCTCCCCAGTGGTGATGTGTACACACCGTGATCTCCCCAGTGACGATGTGTACACACCGTGATCTCCCCAGTGGCGATGTGTACACACCGTGATCTCCCCAGTGATGATGTGTACACACCGTGATCTCCCCAGTGGCGATGTGTACACACCGTGATCTCCCCAGTGGTGATGTGTACACACCGTGATCTCCCCAGTGACGATGTGTACACCGTGATCTCCCCAGTGATGATGTGTACACACCGTGATCTCCCCAGTGGTGATGTGTACACACCGTGATCTCCCCAGTGATGATGTGTACACACCGTGATCTCCCCAGTGATGATGTGTACACACCGTGATCTCCCCAGTGGCGATGTGTACACACCGTGATCTCCCCAGTGGCGATGTGTACACACCGTGATCTCCCCAGTGACGATGTGTACACACCGTGATCTCCCCAGTGGCGATGTGTACACACCGTGATCTCCCCAGTGGCGATGTGTACACACCGTGATCTCCCCAGTGGCGATGTGTACACACCGTGATCTACCCAGTAGCGATGTGTACACACCGTGATCTCCCCAGTGGTGATGTGTACACACCGTGATCTCCCCAGTAGCGATGTGTACACACCGTGATCTCCCCAGTGATGATGTGTACACACCGTGATCTCCCCAGTGATGATGTGTACACACCGTGATCTCCCCAGCAGCGATGTGTACACACCGTGATCTCCCCAGCAGCGATGTGTACACACCGTGATCTCCCCAGTGGCGATGTGTACACACCGTGATCTCCCCAGTGACGATGTGTACACACCGTGATCTCCCCAGTGATGATGTGTGCACACTGTGATCTCCCCAGTGACGATGTGTACACACCGTGATCTCCCCAGTGATGATGTGTACACACCGTGATCTCCCCAGTGGGGATGTGTACACACCGTGATCTCCCCAGTGGCGATGTGTACACACCGTGATCTCCCCAGTGACGATGTGTACACACCGTGATCTCCCCAGTGATGATGTGTACACACCGTGATCTCCCCAGTGGCGATGTGTACACACCGTGATCTCCCCAGTGGCGATGTGTACACACCGTGATCTCCCCAGTGGCAATGTGTACACACCGTGATCTCCCCAGTAGCGATGTGTACACACCGTGATCTCCCCAGTGATGATGTGTACACACCGTGATCTCCCCAGTGGCGATGTGTACACAGCGTGATCTCCCCAGTGGTGATGTGTACACACCGTGATCTCCCCAGTGATGATGTGTACACACCGTGATCTCCCCAGTGGCGATGTGTACACACCGTGATCTCCCCAGTAGCGATGTGTACACACCGTGATCTCCCCAGTGATGATGTGTACACACCGTGATCTCCCCAGTGGCGATGTGTACACACCGTGATCTCCCCAGTAGCGATGTGTACACACCGTGATCTCCCCAGTGGCGATGTGTACACACCGTGATCTCCCCAGTGGTGATGTGTACACACCGTGATCTCCCCAGTGGCGATGTGTACACACCGTGATCTCCCCAGTGGCGATGTGTACACACCGTGATCTCCCCAGTAGCGATGTGTACACACCGTGCTGGGTAATAATTTGAGGCCAAGTCTACCAAGAAGAAGCTCAGGACGAGTTCCGATATTCGCCATTGATGCTGGCCACGAGCGGGACTGCAGTGCGTTGACAACACCACCTCCGCTCCGCACATGACAAGCAAGAAAATGCTACACGCAAATATATATTGCATTTGCACTAATATGACGATACATTATGTTAACAATCATGGTGTTCAATTACCATGAAAAAGTCCGAAGTTATTAATGTTAGTGTGGAAAGCCAATACCCCGTCAGCTGATGGAAGACAACATATTTGTTTATATGAAGAGAACTTAATTCTTATTGTATTTGCCACAGCAACGCATACTAAGTTTGCCTATGGCAGTGCTATTGTGTTTAACAAGGTCCCATATT